ATTTAATTAAACAATTACTGCCCTATGAGTAGTATACTTTATACATATATAATTAAAAATTCTATAAATAACGTTATTATGACGAGTGTTGTTTTGTTTTTGAAAACAAAAAAAAATTCAAAAATGATTTTTAGAGTCGAAACGTAAATTAATAATTCTGTTCGAAAAAATGTTTTAACTATCAATAAAAAGGTATGAAACAACACTATTAAAATAATTTTTTTTTGTTTTGTATAAGCTTAATTATATATTGATTAAATATAGTAAAAATAATAAGTTACTATAAAATAATAATAAGTTTGTTATTAATCAAAATCGAAAAAAAGCTTATACACATTTTCACTATGGAAATATTTATGTTTAATAATATTTTTAGGAGAAAGAAACGATTTTATCTATGCAATAACGTAGAGAATATTGAAAAATAATTTATTTGACTAAGCATTATTTTTGTTATAAATTGTTAAGAAATAATATATATAGTGAAAATAATTTATTCTTAATTATATATTTAAAAGTATCTATTGTCTTCTATGACTTCTTTTCATGCAAAACCAACCCTATGTTTTAATGAGTTGTAGAACGCCATTTCCTGAGAAATATCGAATTTGATATGTCTACTGTATGTACTGATATGATACGTGTATGTAGACATATGTATGTGTATATATACGCTCATGTGTATATTTATACACATATGTCGAGATGGTACATCTTATATGTGATATTTCCAATGAAATTCAATTTATCACAATTTATAAAACTTAATTCTAAGATACGCTAAGTTTCTCTCCCCATTTGAGTACTTAAAGCAAAATCCCATTAAACAACAAGGAAAAACAGAGAATTCTAGATGTTTTGTTACATGTTCTGATCTTCGAATGTAATTTATTTGAGATCCAACTAAGAAGCTGGAGTAAACCTAAATCAAACTTTTATAGATGTCCTTTTGAAATGTCATTAGTTTTCAGACTTTTAGATTTGCTTCAGGACTGGTTCTTTCTGCTTCCTCAAGCTCCTGAGGCTCCGGTAGAAAAGCTTCTGGTTTTTCTTGTAGTTGCTACTCATCATGGCTTCTTTCACTTTCTTCCTTTGTTTCTTGTGTGCGGGGTATGCGACATCTGACTTGGTTTGCAAGTATCTCTTCCATAGGGTTTTCTTCTGTTAGATTTTCTCTTTAATTTCCTCATTCCACCAAGCATGACGTTGTAGTTACATCTTTCTTCACAATCTGGTCCCAAAGCGCCACCCCATCTGATCGTATCCTTCTCTAGTCTTCCATTCAGGCCCCATTATAATTATTGATATATGTTATCAATTAAAAAAAAAAGTGTGTATGTAGTATTCACTCTTAACCATAAACCTTCACCTGAAATATATTTTAATAACATTAAAATTCCAACATCATACGTAATTAGGTATTTAGGTTTTTACCTAGACAAAAGACTTACTTGGAGGACTCACATCAGAAAAAAACGAATAGAATTAAACAGACGATACGGTATTTTATCCAGATTACTTGAAAGACGTTCAAAATTATCTTTAACTAACAAACTAACCCTTTATTAAGTTTTATTTAAACCTATTTGGACTAACGGCATAGAACTGTGGGGCTCTGCTAAAACTTCTAACATTAAAAAAGTTCAGTCAAAAGTGTTGCGAAGGATAGTTGACGCACCTGGATAGTTGGGCTGGAAGGCTGTTAGCGAAGAAGTCTTATACTCTCTACTCATAGCCTACAGACCAAATGATAATGCCATTAGTCTTGAAAAGGAAGAATTTTTTACTCTGTCCGACATGAGGTCTATATATGAAAAGATTTTTATTTATTAACGAAACAAAAATGTAGAACATTTGATTAAATTTGCAATGAGCAAATTTTTTGGCAGCTTCACAGCTTCCCATGACGTCTGGGATATAAATCAGATCAGTAGGTCTCTTAGCCTACGTAATCGTCGTAGTGGCCTGTCGTAGCACGATGAAGAATTTCTATCAGAGGATTCATGTTGTACGTCAATCTTTGGTGAAAGTTATTGTAGTTCTCTTTTGCAGTATCTAAAATTGTAGGTACGTTTAAGTCTTTATGTAGTGTATCATTTGCTACATAAAACGGTGCGTCAACTATCCTTCGCAACACTTCTGACTGAAAGGACTGAACTTTTTTAATGTTAGAAGTTTTAGCAGAAACAGTTCTATGCCGTAAGTCCAAATAGATTTAAATGAAACTTTATAAAGGGTTAGTTTGTTAGTTAAAGATAATTTTGAACGTCTGTCAAGTAATCTGGATAAAAGACCGTATCATCTGTTTAATTCTATTCGTTTTTTTCTGATGTGAGTTCTCCAAGTAGATCTTTTGTCTAGGTAAAAACCTAAATACCTAATTACGTCTGATGTTGGAATTTTAATGTTATTAAAATATATTTCAGGTGAAGGTTTACGGTTAAGAGTGAATACTACATGCACACTTTTTTTTTTCATTCATCTTAATTTTCCACCTTGTGGCCCAATCTGCAATATCGTTCAGACGGTGAAGAGTGGTTGATGCTCGAACAGGGTTTTTACCTGAGCTTAGGATTGCGGTATCATCACTTCACAACATAAATGTCAAACTGCTGCTACTGACCAGATACTTTTTCGGTGGTGCTTTTTCCAATAAGGTACAACCATTCTGGCTGCAGTGGGGACCCCTCCTCCTTTACCAGGGCTTGGGACCTGCAACTCCTCTCGAGGGGAAAGTTGGCAGAGTTGATTGAAATATATTAGCTAAATATCTGACAAAAATTCCCTGATTTTTTTAAAATAACTTCTATAATGTAAGTCAATAATATGTTGGAGCTCTGTCGAGTGCAATATAAAACCGAATAGAAACACATAATTTCTTATTTTTATGACTAATTAAAAAAATATCTATATTGGCTTCCGCAAATTAGTTTCTGAATTATCCATGGTTTTTAAATTCTGAGATATTTTAGTCCAAATGTTCAAAAAAGGCGTTATAATTATGTTTTTTGTTGTGATTTTGTTCCCTTTCCGACTTCATAACTCAGCCTCAAAATGCAATTTTGACATGAGGCTGATTATTCAGGTCCGATTTATAGTTTTGAGATATTTTTATCCATATGATCAACGTAACTCGTTATCATTTGTATTTATCTTTTTCTTATTTGGTCTCTTTAACACGGCGCACAATGGTCGGAAAAGGCATAAAAACGGACAAAACCTTGACAAACTTTCAATTTAAGCAAGATATTTGAAATACGAAATTTATTATGGTATGTAGAGCATTCTGAATTAATGTATAACAAAACCATTTTGGTAAGACCGACCGTTATTATCATTGTTAATTTTTTTCAAAAATAAATAAAATATATTTTGCATATAATATGTTGCAAAATGAAAACCTATTGTAATAAGGTTATTGACCGAATCAATTATAAATATCTATTATATTATTTAAATATCTATATATATTTATTTACCTATATTACTATTGAGAGGACATAGTGGTAAGAGAAGAACAAAAAAACCTACAACTAAATGAAGATAAAACCAAATACATGATAGCACTTGCGGATCCAGGATTTAATTTTGGGGGGGCTTCAGCCCGGAAGCTTTTTTTTTTCATATATATAACGATAATTACTTTAGAAAAACAGAAAGATACTAACTACCTATATGAAATGGTGTTTAAGTGATTCTTATAGTCCTATTAAATGTAATTAAATGAGCAATAATACTTTAAGACATAATTTTTTAATATTTTTTACATGGTTACATTTTACCATTTTCGGAGGGGCTTCAGTCCAAAAGCCCCCTCCCCCCGTAAATCCGCCTGTGCATAATAGTGAGCTAAAAACAATACCTCGGTATCAATTATGAGTCGCGAAATTGTTTTAATTTATCTTAACTCTTTTTCTTCGCATTTTCTGTCAGTTTTTTTTTTTTCTATACTTTTTCTCCAGTTTTATATGACGGAAAGGAATAAATTATATTAGGTATAAATTTATTTAAATACAGGTTGGATTTTTTCTTGCTCGCTTTTGGTAAACATTTCTTGAATGAATTTGTCAGATAATTACCAGAACCTCGAATTACCGCAGCTGGTTTTTGTATTGATCATTAGCAGAGGTGTCAAAGAACATTAAGACCTTGGCTATCATTTTCGCGATATATTTTCTGATATAAACACGAAATTTTAGAAACCGTCAAGTGATAACTTATCCAATGAAAATACTTATTTAAGATCTTATTTGACTCATGTCAACAGATAACACAACAAAAAATATTGTGAGAATTCAGCGAAAACGCCTTAAATGTATTTAACGATTTATAACTATTTGCATCATTAATACAGTAGAAAGTGGCTTTTTATTTATATTTTATTGAAGATCTTGGAAACTGATATTTTTATTGTGCTTAAACTTTAGGAATATATGAGTTAACTAACTATGTTAGACATTAAAAACATAGAAATTTGAATAATCATAACACCTTGCAAATAGGGGTTCTTGCATCTCTCAGACCACTGTGCGGCATTGCGTTTAAGAAACAATTTTCAATAATAGCTCATTACAAAACAAATAAAATTCTGAAAAATTGTTTTCCTTTACAGTATGCAGGTACGATTTTCAGTTTCTGAGATATTTTAACACAAATACAAAAACACTTCAATTTGAGCTGAGTTTACTCGAATGAGCGTTACATATCCTAGCATGACGGCTAAGTCTCATTCACTGCCCACACAAAAAGTGAAAAGTGCGCTTAAAGAAGTTTTCATATATAAAAAAAAAATGTGTGTATGATAAATCTGTAGTTTAATCTTCGTTGGCCATCTTAAAAAGCCATATTTACAGGGGAAGATCGATTCGATATTCAGATGGATTTTGAATAACATAGCATTCACGAATATTATAAATGAAAATCGATATTACGATATTATTTAAACTGTAATATCAATATACCGATACCACATCGTTTGTTTTTATATAGTAATGTTTGGTTTACCGGTTTCCTCTCTTCCTCCTTCTCTTGGTAGCGAGATCAACGCCCTTGATACCGGTTATTTTAAAATAAACTTGTTATTTTTAAACGAGTCATCAGTTACCGCAAAATAACCAGTTTCTTAACAGTCAGTTTTGTATATTACTGATATCAAACTCTTTATACTAGCTGTTGAGGTAATTATAAACATTTCGCAAAATTATAAGAAACACAAATGTCTAAACAGGTATTTTCTCCAGGCCATTCTTTCTTCTTTTTTTTTCGGCACCTAACCTTTCGGGAATTGTTCATTATAAAGACGCTTCCATATCATTCAAGTTGCCCCTCTTTCAGGAAGTTATACCCTAATCGAACTCACGAATCCCGTGATTTCTTAAACAGGTCATCTTGCTATTTATTAGCTATTATTCTGCATAGTAATCAGTCCTTTGATCCTACTCACATGCTTGTCGAGGGTAGTACAACTTTGCCAACTTGGGAGGCCGAAGTGCCCAGAAAGGAGTTTCATGGCGTAAGTTGAGCCATCAAAATTTTTGAGGGAGGTACATTTTGACTGGGTTTTGAATTTTCGAGAGGGGCACATTTCGACGGGGCTATGAATTTTCGGAGGAAAAATCTTCCAACCACAAAGTTAGGAGAAAAACATGGGACAGGCAACAGCAAGAGTAATTGTTTATGATCTACGATATTTCTAATTTCCATTTTTGCTCGCACTGTTTTTAAGAAGAGTAGAATAATATAATTTTTGGAGAGGAGGGAATGGTTCCTGCGCCATCGACCTTGGGCAGGGGAGCACATCTGTTGGAAGAAATGTAAAACAACAAGATGATAGGAGTCACTGGCGGATCTAGAAGGCAGGAAGAGGTCTTTTTGGCTGAACCATCCCAAAATGGAAATTGGAAATTAAGTGGTTCATTTCCATATGAGTGATCTTGGATAAATACGTAAATGATCACCATATAATATTAGTTTAAAATTGTAATGCATAAAAAAACCTGTACCACTTCAAGCCATGAAGGGTCTTGAGTTTAGTACTTTGTAAGGACTTCTGTTTGAAGACCAACGGTTGTACAGGAAGGGTGATCGGGACGGGATAAAGCTCAACCACCCTATTTACCCCCTTAATTAATTATTTAATTAAGATTATCCACTTTATAGAGGCTGAGTGCGCCACAGGAGGGTCTAACGACTCCAGAGTCGATCTGCGACTGATGATAAATTACTTGTCATCAACCTGCTTTGAACCCAAAGACCATGAATCTTAGAAGTCATTACCCACTCACTTTATAATGCATATGCAGCTGCTAAATGTAAGCACATGTTATGAAAAAATATAAGAAATTGATCTCTAAAAGAATTATAATTCCAGTAATATCTTTTTTTATATTTTATTTATTTATTTTTTGCCCTTAATGACCAATTAAATAATTTTAATAGTTATTTTTTTCTTTTTCTTCAAAAGTATTGCCATTATTAAAGAATAAAAAATTAAATTCTGGATCTGCTACCGATTTGGGTATGTTAACATTAATTGTCAATATTTGAAAAACTAAAAAGGTTGAAATAAGCAAAAAAAAAAAAAAATGGAGATTTTTTAGAATTAAATATTAAAAAAAAAGAAATCCACTGTAGAAATCAGAAAATCCTGTCTATTCTAAGGAAACGTACTTCCACATCTACTTAAACATCTTGGTTGATAAGGAAATTGACTAGAACGAATAATTAAGCTTGGAACAGTATCGGTTTGCTTTCATCACACATTGCAGCTCCTGGCACGTAGATTTGCATCAATGTGTATCAACATCCAAAACAATTTTAGTTTTGTTTTAGTGGTGGAAGACACCTTACTGCTTAAAGTTTAAATATTTGTGGATATCAATAAACCTAATCTCGGAAAATATTGTGTGTGTACTATTCTAAAATCTGTCTGGGCTTAAAAGCAAAACTTAGGGTTTCAGAAAAAAAAAAAAAAAAAAAAAAAAAAAAAATGTGTCTCCTTTATTAATCTTTCTATACAGAAAAATAAATAATAATCATGAAATCTTGGCCATAAAAAAGGGCTTAAATAAAACAAGTTTACTATTAATGAATAAATGATCCAGAATATTATAAATTTGATGCAAAAATAAACAGATAAAGTTTTAAAAATATTATAAAGACTGTCAATGGTAAAAAAATCCTCAGTAAACATTCATTCTTTTTATTCTGCTCCTGTTTAGATATTATTTATCAAATTCCAATATAATCTGTCTGTTGGTATTAATTTTTTCTTTGTTTTAATTTTCTTTATTCATTAATTCTTCTTTTTCTAGTATTAATGTGACTGGAGCTGTTTAAAAGAAATATGGGAGTACTTTTGAAATTATCATGCTGCTTTTTGGCAGTAGCACTGTATAATGCAGATTTCGTACATGGTAAGTAATCAACATTATATTCATGATAATGGTATTGTAAGCGATAGTTAACTCCGTTACAATGAAGGTCATACATTCAACCCAAAACAAAGTATTTAGACTCAACTTCAATTAAAATCACAGTTAGAATTTATCAAGCAAATTTTCTGAAGAATGAAAATACTGACTGAAATTCTACATATTTTTAAATAATAATTAATTCTTAAAATCAATATAAAAATTAATATCTTGCTTAAAATTTAATAGCCCTTTCAATTTTTAGCTATTTCTAGCATTTGTTTGTTAAAGAAATTTTCAATACTATTAATAAACGTTTTATTTAATAAACTTTATCATAATTATTTCTAATGCATTGAATATTCTACCCATTAGGATTATTTTTTCATTTAGTATTTTACCTTTTTTTAATTTATTTTATTGGGATATAATTTCTTTTTGATTCATTAAACAATTAAACCTTGTCGTTAGTTTACTGGGTTTGATCTAGATACTTTGGTCAAAACAGGAAATTTTTATTGTACATATTCAGCTTTACTACCTCATCTATTTTTCAAAGATGGCTCGCTGACCTTTTTTACTATAGCTTCTCCCAAAATTGTATGAGGTTGTTTCATACAAAATGTCAGTATTCACAGGAAAGGTTATTCAGTAGAATAAGTTTATAAAATCAAAACATTTTTATTCAAAATATTTACTCTTATTTTCAATACATTTTCCCCAATGTCTTTTCAACTTTTCTATCTAAAAAAATCAGGGTTTGGGAAGACATGAAGTCAGAAAATGCTTTTTTGACCTCAGAATCATTTTAAAAATTTTACCTTTAATAAGGAGATTGTCCAAAGTTCTGAACAGATGGAAATCTGTTGGAGATAAGTCTGACAAATAAGGTGGATGTGGAAGGACTTCCTAACACAGCTCGTTTTGATTTCTTTACTGTCTGAAATATGAGGTCTTGTGTTGTCATGTAAGGGTAGGTATAGGTTTTTTTCGATTAACCACTGCAGGTTGTTTTATGACAAATTTGTGATGTATTATGTCAATATCACTGCAGTATCATGCGGATTTGATCAAAACCTTGTTTGAGCATCTGAACCGGGTTAATCATATCTGAACAATATTTCTGATTATAAAGATCAGAAATATTTCTGATTATAAAGATCAGAAATATTTCTGATCATAAAGATCAGAAGTTGGAAAATTATTATGAATGAAGAAAAAAGTGCGTATTGTAACGTTCCCTTTGTCAACATAAATCAAACGAGTTACCTTTTTCAATATATTATTTATTTTACACATATAACATAAATCTCAGGTTGGGTTCGGACAACTGAACACTCATTCAACATTAAATAACTATAATTTACCAATTACTAAATACACTAATTACACATATAAAATTTATTTTGTTTTCAAAAACCTTTATTGTCCCAGTCTAAACTTTGTGGCTCTTTCTATTTTCTCAGCTTGCTGGCTAGTACCTCCTCTCTTGGCCGCTATCACCTTCTCTCCTGGCGGCCCGTCACATTCTGAGTTACATGAGGCTTGCCTCCCCCACCACCGCACGCACTTTCTCCCCGCACTTTCGCGCCACTATTTAAATGCCATGTAATGTTGACATTACAGTATATAGTATTCACTCTTAACCATCTTCCTCCTGAAATATATTTTAATAACACTAAAATCCCAATATCAAATGTAATGAGATATTTAGGTTTTACCTGGACAAAAGACTTACTTGAGGACTCACATTAGACATAAATGAATAAAATTAAGCAAGACGACACTGTATTTTATCCAGGTTTCTTGACAGATGTTCAAAATTATCTTAAAATTAACAACGTTATAAAGTTTTACTTAAACCAATTTGGACTTACAGCATAGAACTGAGTGGTTCTGCTAAAACTTCCAACATTAAAAAAATTCAGTCCTTCCAGTCAAAAGTGTTGCGAAGGATAGTTGATGCGCCATTTTATGTCGCAAATGATATACTACATAAAGACATTTGTATACATAAATGTACCAACAATTTTAGATACTGCGAAAGAAAACTATAACAACTTTCAACAAAGACTGACATACAACATGAATCCTCTGACAGAAATCCTTCAACATACAAGAAACCCCTATAGCCCACAACGACGATTGCGTAGGTGTTGGCCAAGATACCCGTTGATCTGATTTATATTTTGGATGTAATGGGAAGCTGTGAAGCTGCCAAAAAATTTGCTCATTACAAAGAAATTCGCAGATTGCAAATTTAATTTAATGTTCAAAATTTTTGTTTGGTTAATAAATAAAATCTATAAAAATTAGTACTCGCTCATTTTCAATATAAACTATATCCATATTTCAGCAAAGAAAACTACGGTGCTCTGTTACATAGCGGCATGGGCCTCTACCAGAGTGCACCAAGGAAGGTTTACTGTAAGAGATGCAGATACACAACACTGCACTCACGTTGTATATGCATTTATGGCAATAAATGAAACCACCAGTGAAATACAAAGCGTCGATAAATATATAGACCTTGATATGGGAGGAAAAGGAAGAGGTAAGCTCTTTTTATTTTTATTTTAGCTATTACTATTTAAAAAATACATAAACAAGTTAGTTAATATAGAAATATGTAATATCTTGAAGCTTAATTTTTAAATTAATTTAAAACCGTTGCTCTACAATATTTTTTTAACAAAGTTTTACAGACTGTTAACTACTAATAGGAAATGGTGAAAGAATTTAATTTAAAATGAATTAAAAAATGTGTATTTGTTTTTCTAAGTTAAAAGTATCATTGCAGCTTTAAGTTAATTATTTATATATTATTTCATTATCAACATTACTTGTGGTATTTTTATATCAAAACTAAGAAATTTAAAATTATAAGATTGCTAATGTATAAATCGTACTAACATCTTTGGAGATGAATAGAATTTTATAGTTGAAAAAATTGTTTAGTAATTTCCAAAACAAAAGTATTGTAAAAAAAAAAATAAACATATGCATCTATTTCTTCATAATCTTACAAAATGCAAGATTAGTAACCTTATTTATTTTGACTTTATTGTATGCAAAAAAATAGCTATATGAATTATAATAATATATTAAGTAAAGTAAAGTTACCATCAGCTGTTTATAGCCTTGGTGATTGTTTTCACCTGTTAGCATATATTACCTCTATCAGTGGCTGTCTTGAAGGATCCTTGCTGTCCAGCCGGAAAGGGTATCTAATTAATTGAGACTAAAACGGATTATATTTAGTGTATATTTAGTTACTTTCAGTATTATGTTTCTCAAGGGCATTTAATATATTGAATAAATAGTAAAATTATAAGGTCTTATCTAGCCTTGAAGACCCCTTATATAGGTTGTCTCAGTTCTTAAAGGCCAAAATCTGGACAAAAGTTGTAACAAAAAAGTTCATTTGATATATGGGCCGATTCCGAACGGAAAAGGAGTCAGAACCAATTTTGTGTGGTCACGTTTTTTATGATATAATAATAAGAAGGAATTGCTCAAAAACTGATTATAAAATTCCAAGTATACCACCATAAATTATACAAAATTTTTTTTGAGAACGCAGTGATTAAATTTACTAAGGTCAATGATAAAAGGATTTTCAGAAGGTCTAATACTGCCACTGTAAAGACATATGCTGCTTGTGTTGGGTACTGTAACTGCAGCAGTACAGCAGCTGTATTAGACCTCCTGAAAGTCCTTTTTATCATGGAAACCTTGCATTATTATTAATGACCAACCAATCTCCTTCGCCTCCTCTATAAAAAACTTAGGAATTACCATTGATCAAAACCTATCATGGAAACCCCATATTGCTCATATCTCCAGAAGGTCAATTGGTACACTTAAACTATTTCATCGTTCTCGTCAGCATCTCCCACAATCTATCCTCAAGCTCCTCATTTCCTCATTAATTTTCCCCTACTTTGAATATGGCTGTGTGGTATATGGTGGCCTCTCGTTGGAGCTTGAGGACAGAATGGAGAGAATCATGAACTGTTTTTTAAGATTTGCCTTCGGCACTTCGAGATGGTCTCATGTGTCCCACCTATATGCCGAGTCAAAGTGGCTCTCCCTGCCGCCTATACTTCCTTGGAAATTTCTTATACCAAACGATCAATTCCCAGCACCCTTCCTATATCTGCTGTCTCCTCCAGCCTAAACCTTTAGTCCATTCAATAAAAAAGAGATCCCGTGATTCTGACCTCTATATTCCATTCCACAAGACAAAAACCTATGAACATTCCTTCTTAGCCCGCTCCGTCGCCTACTGAAATTCTTTGCCACATAACATCCGTCATACCTCTTTACTGTCAACTTTCCAATACCTCCTTTTCCAATATCTCCTTACATCCCAAACAGACGATTCACAATTTCATTTTATGAACTGAATTTGTGAGAAGTAAGTGGTGGTGCCTACTGTTTAAGTTTTAATATAAAACAGCAATGATCTTTGACTATTATTTTAACTATTTATTTGTTTTTCTATTCGCCTCAGGTTGTGCTTTTTCTTTCGGGTATATACGTTTATATTTTATACTTTTTGTCTCTCGGTATACCAATATGAGTATGTAGGTATACATAGTTCTTTTTTTTTTCCTTTATACCACAAGTAATCCTGAGATTTTATTTTACCTTAGTGTTTGTATATTATTATATGAATCAGTGTAGATATTATTACATTTTTACATTTTGTATTAAATTATTTTTCTATTAGATAGCCTATTGTTTATAAATTGTGCAGTTGTGTATATATAGATATGTAATTTCTTTTCTTTTTTTTTTTTTCTTTTCATCACAATAAGTAATTTTGAGAAGATTTTATATATATTTTATATATTTTATTATATTTTATATATATATATATATATATCTTTTTTTTTTTGTTAATTTTTTAGTGGTTACATACTACTTTTTAAATAATGTATATAATGTTAGAATTTCTATAAGTTAGTTTTTGTCCAGATTTGTATTTTATTTTGTATTAATTCATCTTTGTTATTCTAAGAGGACTTAGTCCCAGAATAAAGTTCAATTTTCTATTCTATTCTATTCTATATGGTGTCTTCAAGGATAGATAAGCTCCTCTAATTTTACTATTTATTCAAGTTATAACAACATTTTGAGCAAATTTGCTCATTTTTGTTATCAAATCCAACAAAAATTTTATAAATTCCAACTTATTTCCATTATATAATTCTATAATAATTTGTTTGTATGCCACAATTATAAAAACCACTATGTTCCTCCCATTTTATTCGTGTCAATTCCCAGAACCCATTACTACATCCTCCTTCTATTGTTTAATATGGACTGTTAAACTGGTTATATTTAGTATAAGTAAGCTTGGTATTGCCTTTGATTTCCTTAATGACCAATGAGAGATAATTCTTCATATACTAATATTATCAATTCCATAGATGAGATAGACATTATTCGACGGGAGGAATATTGTCTGTATAGCCAACTAATTTGTTTATGAATAATATTGGATAAGAGTATCAGATATGACATGGAATGGTCCATCATAAACAACATATCCCCCTTTTTTTAAAAATAAATTTTAGACTAAAACAGCTTTGTAAGAAAAGTAGGAGTACTTTTTAACTTTGAAAGAGATAGTTTGAGTGAGTTCTTAAGGTTTTTTTTTTTTTAAATCATGTTATTTTATTTTGCTCTTAACTTGAATACGTATTCATTCAAGCTATGCATTACAGGTCAGCTAAAAGAACTGAGAGTTCTGAAGACCTTTAATCCAAGCATAAAAGTTCTTGCCAGTGTTGGAGGATATTCTGAGGGTTCAATCAAGTTTTCCGAAATGGCAAGAAGTTCTTCAAAGAAGACAACTTTCATCAACAGTCTTATAAGATTCATAAGGTAATTTCAAAATTTATTTTGATTATTCATAGTTATATTCTTTTTTTTTTTTTTTTTTTTTTGTATTGTATTGTTCTGTTTTTCTCTAAATGACCATTTCTGGCATACAAATTAAATTATTATATTTTATAATTATTGAACATTAAAATGAAAAACTGCAATTGATTTTAATAGGGAATGGGGATTGGACGGCATCGACATCTGTTGGCAGTTCCCTGGTCAGAGAGGAGGAAGATCAAGTGACAGGCAAAATTTTATAAGCCTTTTAAGGGTAATCCAATGAAACATTAAACTAAATTAAATTTATTTACTATGAATTCTTAATTAAATTTAATAAAAATTCTTTTTAAAATCTTATTTTATTGAGAAATAATACATTTTGCATCAATTAAGGCCATTGAGTATTAGGGCTATGATGGACTCATCCATACAATATATACAATAATAAAAAAACATTAGAAAAAATTATTATATTATAACAAAAAAAAAACTTAATAAAACAAAAGAAATGAAGCTTGAGACAATATTAAATAAAAATATAAAAAAGCATTCATACCTATTTACAGTCAGCCAAGGGAGCTCTGAGTCAGGCCCTTTCTCCCACTTGTGGAGGACAAGGTAAGACTCTAAGAGATCCCAGGGCTTCTCTCTCAACTGCATTACTGGGATGGGGATCTAGTGAAGACTGAGAGAGGGCACTAAAGCCACATACGCTCATGATTTGAGTGGAGAAGCTGGCGAATGCCAGAACTCCAGTGACGTATTTAGAATAGAATAGAATAGAAAATAACTTTATTCTGGGACAAATTTACAAGAGATACTAAATATTCTAGCTCAATTATTTTCAATATAGAGGAGAGCAATAAAAACTTTATTTTTGTATTAAAAGATAAATCAAATTTTATAAAAATTCCAGCCTAACTATTTTTAATATAAAGGAGAGCAATAAAAACATTATTATTAAAATAAAAATTTAATTTAATTTAATAAACATTCTAGTTTAATTATTTTTAATATAGAGTCAAGCAATAAAAACATTATTATTTGAATAACAATTAAATTAAATTTCATAAAAATTTAATATAGACGACTTTCAGTTATTTTTAATATAGACGAGAGCTATAAAAACATTATTATTTGAATAAAAACACTGCTCTAAAATTATATGTATTTTAAGTTTGGTATGACATTTTCAGCACACTGTATTTCATATTTTATAAATGATAGCAAGAATCTAAAAGTAAAACTTCTAAACAAAAACATAAAGATTTCTTAACAATTGCTAATTATTTTATATAAATGGTTGCTTCTTCCAAAACTTTTATATTCCAAAATTAAAATATAAATAATTAATAATTTTTAATACTGATCACAAAAATATATATCTCCAATAAAGTGCCTAAGGTAAATGTACTTGAAATAGACAATTTAAAAGAAATTTTCAACATAAATGTGAACCAAAGCTTTAGTTATGATGTGGATCTTCACAAATGAGTTTCTTTGTCAGAAAATTTAGCATTTTTACGATTTTATTTTGCTATACAGTCAATTAGTTAATAATTCAGGAAAAAAAAAATCTGATAGCATACATTGCATCAGTAATAAACAAGCTGGTTTTGGGGTAAATAGTTTTGATATAATTAAGAAAAAAACATGAATAAATTATGCACAACTTTAAACTGAGAAATGGAGGAGAAAAGTGGTAAAGGAATTTCATTGAAACAAATATCCAGCCTTGCTCCATTAAAAAATTAACATTTAAGCGACTATTGTGGCATACCGCTTGAATTTCAGCCATCAACTCTTTAGAAGTTCTAATAGCAAATCAACTCATATTTGCTCTCTCTATAGAATGCACAAAGCTTATTATTTGTTTGCGAGTTGAAAACTGTCTATTATAAGTACAGTGTCTATTACTGATACATTTACCTTACATAAAACCATGTATAAGTACTTTGTCTATTACTGATACATTTACCTTACATAAAACAATGTATAAATTTATATTATAGTGTTGTCATTTTTTCAATAATTACAGGATATAAAAAGATTATTTCAGCCCGAAGGTTGGTTACTCACTGTCCATATCATCGCAAAACGTTCTGTAATAAATCTAGGCTACGATGTGAGATCTATCTCAGAGATAGTTGATTACATCAACTTAGCTGCTGTGGAGTATCATGGGCCATGGGACAGAACTACAGGAATCATGGCTCCTTTGACATCAGAAAATGAAAATAATGTTGTAAGTGCTGTAAATAAAACTATTTACAACTTGTTTGGAAGAACAATTAAACTAATATAAGTTTTTATTTCAGAACTTTATGGTTAATTATACCATAGCTAAAGGAGCAGACCGCAGCAAAATATTATTAGGTCTTCCGACCTACGGCCATGCTTATGTGGTTGAGGATACAATTAAAAGAGGTCAATATCTTAATTTAGTCTCTGATCAGACATTTTTGTCACAGTTTACAAACGAACATGGAATAATAGCATACAATGAGGTATTCACACTGTGTTTCTACTATGCATGAAATGCAATAGAGTATAGGCAAGTTGTTATGTTTTCTATTTTCATTATTTAGCATTTATTACAAAACACATAGGAGAAAAATAAAACATTCTATGATTATGGATTAAATAGAAGTTTGTCTCTGAGTTTCTGCACCATCTCATTGGTTGCATTTATGAGAAAACCTAAGAATACAAATTCAAAAATACTCTCAGAACTAAGGTTTTCAATTTTTATTTGTGCTTATGTTAGGTCTCCACTCCTTAAATTTTGGTTCACTATAAGCCCAAGTCTTGCATAAATTTATACATTTGCATCACTTTCCATTTCCTTGTAAGAGTGTGTATATTATCAACCAATACCAATGATTGTGGGGAAAATGGATCTTTTGGAAAAATTCTGAGTTTTTTGGAAACATTTATTACGAAATGTATAGTATACTATATACTACGATACTGCTATTTTGAACTCATCGAAAAAATAATCTTAACACTAGAAAATATTGCATATTACTATATTTGTAATTCCTCAACATTTTGCATGAAAACCTTTTTAAAAAAATATGGGTAAGTGATAAATAAAAGTTAAATAACCAACATGAAAGTCCTATAGAGAGTATCAATCGCCCTACTCCTCTCCTCTTCTCCCCTCCTTCTTCTCCCCCACCCCAAAGTTTGCGCCTATGCTGCTGGAACATATCTGGATCCAGTAATATTTGCAAGCATTTCTGCTGCCTCTTCTTGAGTTTTGAGTGTAGCTAGACATTCTTGCTGTATACTGGGTCGTGGAGACTTTTTTCTCTTGCTTTGGCTGCACTTTGATCATTTTGGTCCTAGGTCTTCCAGATAGGATACTAGTAGATATATCTGCTGTCTTTCTTTGCTGATAGATGGCACTGCTATTTTGACGTGTTTAAAATTACTGATCGTCGTGTTCTTAACAATAACTATATGGGTTGGTTACAAGAATTCACTGCAGGTCTTCTACAAAAGTATGACTACAAGATCATAGATCTTACTATCATAGATATACTACTGCAAGAGTGATTTTCCTTTGGACTATAAGGATAAATATACCCAGGAATAGTAGAGGGGATAAAAGAAGTCGGAAGAAGGCTGCAAAGGAAGGGATCAGAGTTAGTGGGAGTGTTAAGTCAAACAAATAATAAAGTATAAATAAATAAATTATTTTTATTTTTATTTAAATATAATTTATATTTTATATAAATATGATTTAATTAATTAATAATTATATATTTTTTTATAAATATTATATTTTACATAAATATAACTTATTTATTTGTAATTTGTTATTTGTTAAACTGAACACCGCAACTAACTTCTCTTCAATATATCTATTGTGGTTGTCAATTATTAATCCACTATCATGAAGTTATCCATAACTAACACTGATATGAGGTATGTGAGAAAGTGGTCTATTGCAGAAATCTGTTATTGTTCCCTAAGTCCTGATGAGAAGTCTAACGTTGTCCTGTCAGTGCTTTAAGATAACTAGTTCTAATTTATCAGAGATAGCTTTGTCCTTTGTGTTATGGGAATTGTCAATACATGATTCACCAATTGGCATATTTAATAAATTCAATTGTTTATAAGAAGATAAAATTAACATTATTATAATTAGTTACAGATTAAGTCTATTATGTAACTTAGCTAACAGATTTATGCAAAACTTAGAAAATCATTGCAATAAAAGCAAATCAAATTGTCTAAAAATTGTTTCTCTGAATAAAAATTGTGAAATATGCATATAAACCATTTCATAAGACAAAACATCCTCTTACACTTTCTAAACTTAGATAATATACATAAAAAGAGAGGATTTTTACAGTAAAATTGAAAGTTATTATAATATAAAAAATCATCAATTTTGATAATCTGTTAAGCAATATTTTTAATTATATTTTAGATTTGCTATGAAATGAAAACAGGCGATGGTTGGAATGAAGAATGGAATCAAGATTCAAGCACACCAGTTGCTTACAATGATAACAGATTCGTCAGTTATGACAACAAGAGAAGTTTACTTGAAAAGGTAATCCTTTAAAACAATTAATTTCTTTTTAATTAATAATTTTGTGTTGCTTTACTTGTGAATATTATTTTTTACAAAAATGGTGGGTACATAATAATCTTGATAAAATTTGCTTTAAATGCAAGTAGTAATTTTTTTTATAAACTTATATATTTGATAAGTTTTAAGTCCATATTAATTACGTTAAGGTTTGTTAAAAAAAATAAGTATAGATTCCAATTGACTAAGAAAATATATTTTAATTTAAAAAACCCAACTACAGAAATTGGGATATTCTATCCACTCTACGGGAATGTACTTCCATATCTACTGAAACATTTTGGTAGATTGATCGGGAAATTGAAAAAAATCGTTTTGGTGAATAAAAATTAAGGAAAAATAGTTACTAATACTTGACAATTTTAGTTACTATATGTAAAGAATTAGTATAAACAAAATACTTTTGCAATTAACTCTACCAATTTTTCATTTGGGCTTACTTAGGTTTCCCCTATCTGAAAAATTACAGAAATATCTATATAGTAATAAGCTAATAGGTAACTGGAAGACCAAGACCAAGATTAAGACTTGTCTTGGTCTCGCATTTGAGCAACACTAGATATATAAGTACATGCCCACAGGGTAGATAAAATTTTTCTATTTCTATTGAGTTTTTTTTTTAATTAAAACAGTTTTTACTTTTTAAAATAATAACAATTCATTTTCATAACGTATTACATGATATCATTTTAAATCAATTAATAATCTAGACACTTAAACTATCATATTTTTTTTCATTATTTCGAGCTAAAATCTAATTATTTTTTATCTAATTATTTCAAATTTATCCAAATTTTCACCTCTTCAGGCAGCTATGGGACTCCACTAAGCCATCTAATTCCTCTAATATCGAATCCTTGAAATCCAAAATCCCTTGTAAAATCCTGTAAGTTCGTACTTTGTCACAAATAAAATCATCAATAATAACCTTTATGTTTCTGACCTGACCCAATCCAAATACCTATCCTTCCATAACAAACTTCAGAAAAAACCAAACCCTCTCGTTTCTAATCTTGCTTCCTCCTCAATCCCTGATAACCCTCCGAGGCATCTGAAATGAAGATGGCTTCGAGATCTCCTGTTGTAAATACATTTTTAGAGTGCTACCTCCTTGGTAGTTTCTCAACAACTTGTTTCATGTTTTTATATTCTTGTGTTCTCATTTACTGAATGTATTTTTATTTCTAATGCAGTTGTAAATATCATAAATAATAAAAAAAATAAAATAATAAAATAAATTAAAGCTATGAATGTTAACACTAGAAGTTATTTATATTTTGGACTCTAACTGAACAACAGAAATATATTTAATTTTTAATATTTTTTTTCCCTAGGCGAGATTAGTCAACACATATCAACTCGGAGGGATCATGCTGTGGTCACTAGATATGGACGATTTCCTTGGCCAATGCCACGATAAACCGTACCCTTTGCTTTCTGCTGTCACTGATTATCTCGACCATGAGGATGGATCATCTTCTAATACAGATAACAGGAACAAAGATAAACCACCAAAAAAGAAAGTTGTAATAAATCAAGAATATGGTAAAAAATGAAGTTCAAAGCGATAATGACTTAACAATGCTTATTTGATATGTTTTTATACGATGCTTTATTATTATTAATAAAATAAATGCTTAATGAAGATTTTTCTTTTTTCTTATACTACTCATTAACATTTTAAAACATTAAGCCCCATAAAAATATGAATATGAAATCACAAGACCTACAGATATATCAATTAGAAATAAAATAATAATAATCTAATAGATATAATAGAAAAAAAAAAGTTATCTTCTAGATAAAATTGATTAAGAAAAACATAATAAATGGAAGAACGATGAAATGAAAATAATTGGAAATAAACTAATAAAATATATACATATTAACAGAAATTTCTATTTACAATTTTAGAGGGACTGGCTGGAAAGGAAGTGATAGAATAGGCGGAATTTAAAAGTAGGGAGAGTACTGGAGGAAGGATGCCGGTAGGGGATGGAGTTCCATAGGAATGAGGATCGAATAATAAAAGATTTATCGAAAGCAGTCATCTATTATCCATCGTAATGGATCGATTCTTTTATCGCTTCTTTTCATCTTCATTTTTTCTTTAAATTAAAAAAAAGAATTTATCGAAAAAAAAACAAAAACAGTTACAAACATTCTTAAACCTTATGCTCATTCAGGCAAAAACTTTTTTTTCTAACATATTGAAATTAAGAGTTCCAAACATATACAAATAAAAAGTCATGAATCTTATAAATAGGAAGGAAGTTTAGTGGGACAGAATTTTTTTTTTTTTTTTTTTTTTTTTTTTTTTTTTTTTTTTTTTTTTTTTTTTTTTTTTTTAGTTTTACACATTAGATTTTGTCCTGTGTATATAAATTGTAAATGAAATAAAATATAATTTTATTATCCTGGGACTGATAACTCTGTATAGTGATGGGCGATAGTCAATAGTTTTCCACTATCTATAGTTCAATAATATAGATGAAAAACTATCAATAGTATCGATTGCTTAGTAATTTCCCGCCACTGACTAAGGAAGATTTATTTTTGCTGCATTCTTTAATTATAAGCTTCATAACAATAATTAACATTTATTATGGATGAATGGTTGACTGCAGTGAATAACTGAAGAGATGAATGGTTGGGATGATCACTAAAAAATAATAGTAAATATAAATAAGTATATTTGTTTTCACTATTTTTTTTTTATTAATTAACATTTATGTTAAATACATTTTTAAGGATTTATATAGATTAAGGCACTAACAAAAAATCTTTTTTTTTGCTATAAAAAATTTACTTAGGTTGTTTAACGAAGGAGATCTCTCATTCAATAGCTTTTTAGTCTCCTCCTCATTATCTGGGGCTGTTGACATGTCTCTTATTAATTTCTTGTAATGTCCGTTTAAATTTGTATAAAATCGTTGGCAGTGGGTCGTAATGTGTTGGTCGACTGTCGGAAGGTGGAGGTCAGTAAGTAGAGCTTTGTTAGTCACGTACCATGGTGATTGTGTTATGAATCGCATTTATTTTGATTGGAAGGTTTGAAGTTTTGGAGATGGCTATTTTTATTGATACCTTATATTTGTGATGAGTATGTCTATATTGGTTTTTAGTGAGTATGTATGTGTATTCAGTTTCTGTCTCAGTTTCAGTTTTTAAGGTTTAGAAAAAAGATAGTAGAGTAGTTTGAGTCGGTTTTTAAGTGTCTTACGATTTATTTTTATATGCAGGCCCCATGTCATTCTTCTGACGAAGGTTAGTCCAAGATAAAATACTGTGTCCATTTGAGGTATTTGATTGTTGTTAACATTAACTGGAGGGAAGGTGTTTTTTGGAAGAGTAAATGTTATATGTTTGGATTTGTCAACAATTATTACATAATCAATTAAAAAATTTACTGATGGGAAAATACATTTATATTGAAAAATAATTAAGAGAAGGATAGTTGAGGTGATCAGTCAAAGATATAAATGGCCAAAATAAATAATAATATTTATTTTAACTTAAATTTATTTATATTTTTATTATATATTTTTATCTTTGACTGATCACCCCAACTATCGTTCTCTTCATTATTCTCCACAGTCAACCATCAACCCTCCAAATATTGAAAAATAAATGATGTCCGTATCCATGAATGTCAAATTCAAACAAGAAACATCTACAACGATGTATAGTATTGTTTGTACAATTCGGGAAAAAAAAAGATAGAAAAGCCCATGCCTTCCAATTTCCAATATTGTTATTTTATAAATTTAATTTGATGACATTAGTTTAAAATATAACAAAACTGTTCTGGAGTCATTGTAGATTTTCTGTTTTCTCATTTAAAAAAAAAAAAATTAATAGGAGAAGTAAACAAGCGTCCGAGAGTAGGCCGACGCGAAGGTGGGAAGATTTCGTTAAATCTGGTCTGGCGGGACTGAGACATCGATTGGTGGTATTGGCATCGACTCTTCGGGTTTAGTAAGCCCTATTATTATTGTTATATTATTATTATATCTCATGCATTGATATATAGGTAGAAGTATGAAGTTATTAAAATTATTTCTGTAAGTATACAAAATTTGAAATTTATTTTGTTCTTGGAAAGGATACAAATTATCGATAGCCATTAGTACTATCGATTGTTTTAAATTATCAAAATATCGATAGTATTATTTACTATTGCCCTTCCTTAACCCAGTAGAACAAATTATAAATACAAAATAAATAAAACATGACAATATGGCCATACATATTACAATACAATATAGAAAAATAATACATGGGTGGATCTATGAGGGGACTTTCGGGTTGAAGCTCCCCCCCCCCTCCAAAATGGTAAAATATAACCATGTTTTATCGAAAAAAGTATTTAAAAAGTATCTCTTAAAGTATTATTGTTCGTCTAATTACATTCCTAAAAGGGCTTTAGGAATCACTTAAATACCATTTCATACAGGTAGTTAGTTTCTTTCTTTTTTTCCAAAGTAATTATCGATATTTTTATGAAAAAAAAATTTTGGGCTGAAGCCCACTCCAAAATCAAATCCTGGATCCGCTAGTGCAATAATAGGTAATTAAAAATAAAATACAAGAGATAAATTAGTTATAAACAAAATAGTTATGTAAATATTTAGTTTAATATTTCATACTTCAGATATTTATAACACATGCTATTATTAAGAAGGAAAAAAATGGCTGTCAACTAGGTTTCAAGGCCACTTCCCCAAAATAAACATCCTACCCATAACTACATGTTTAAACCAAAATTTTTCTAACACTGTTAGGAACAAAACAAATTCGACACCCCAACTATCAGAAAGTGTTTATTCAGCAGCTCAATTTCTTAAGAACTTACCTCTACATGAAACAGAAAATCAGCTTAGATTCACAAACCCCTAAAAACGATGCTCCGTCTCTCTCGATTACTCAAAAGCATTACCTCACCTTATGAGTACAAAATCGAATTTTTCCGTCTCCTAAAAAATATCCCGCAACCATTATTAATTTATTCCGACGATTGGAAATCCAACGTCTTCGTTTGTTATCCATAACTCGACACATTAAATAAAACTTCATAAAATACAGCGTAACTTCATACAATAACCTCAGTCCTCCTCTTCTGTATGACAAATACTCCAAACATAATAAGTCTTAATAACCTTCTTTTTGAGTTCATCAGAAGATTTAAACTACATATATTCAATACATCCTAAAAATACAAAAATATCTTCATATTATTGAAAATCAGCAGGGTGTCCATTCCCCACCCAAGGCCGATGGTGTATACCTCCCAATATCGCTTCACTCACTTATATAATTAATATGTATCATGATATTCTACTTCACTATAACTAGTGTCCAAGTGACATATTGTTGTAATATTCAATAAATAAATAATAATAAAAAAAATATGTATCTATATGAGATGTAATATCAATGTTAGTTTAAAAGACAGTAGATATAATATTGGTTTGTTTCTCTAGAATATTAAATATATATATATATATATATTTTCTTTTACCTGTTTATCTTTAAATTGAAGGACTCCTTGTCTTAGGCTGATTTCTTATTGGACTGTTATAAAGAGACGTTTGGATCGAGTGAGGCTGTCGGGTGCTCCGTATATACATATATATATATATATATATATATATATATATATATATATATATATATATATATATATATATATATATCGCACAATACATTAGACAATTACAATCAACAAGTAAAATCAGTAATATTAGACATATATTAATATTAGGCAAGCCTCTCTCCTGCCCTCCTCTGCGTATGCCCACGCCAGGAATTCATTATTATTTTGTTTTAAATATTTTTTTCCTTTTAAATGAGAATTTTATCTGAAATAATTGCGAGAGCGTTTTCAAAAGGGGGTAAATTAATTTAAAATAGAGGAGGGGGCGATAAATTTGAGGATGGAAAAATTAGTCTTTATTTCCTAATTAGTTCATTTTAGAATGTTGAAACGACATGTCACTGATGATGACATTTCATAAGTTTTTTATTTGTTGCTACTTTATTTTAAATTTGTTTCTGTGTCCTATAGCCAAAGATAAGGCATTAGTTGTATTTATTATATACACACAATGAAGGTACCGCATACCGATATTTCAAACAAGTGGCGCCCTTTGAGTTAATGCTGAAACTGGAAAAAGGGAAGCCCTGCTTGTGTTGAGTAGTTAGGATAAAATTATATCTGCCGCTCTTCCAAGTATGCGGCGCCCTTAGATATTTTTATATATACACGCAAACCTCAGTGTGCTTTTTTTACTTTCCTACCTATACTAGGCACTAGCGGATCCAGGATTTAATTTTTGGGGGGGCTTCAGCCTGAAAGCTTGTCTTTTCATAAAAATAACAATAATTACTTTGGTAAATAAGAAAGAAACTAACTATATGAACTGGTGTTAAAGTGATTCCTAAAGACATTTTAAATGTAATTACACGAATAATTATACTTTAAGAGATAATTTTTAAATATTTTTTTCGATAAAACATGGTTATATTTTACCATTTTGGAGGGGGGGGGCTTAAGGCCGAATGCTCCCTCCCCTCCCCCCCCCCGTTGATCTGCCCGTGATACTAGGTAAGAAAAGTATTGCAATCGGTTCAAATTTCCAATATGCGGTTTTCGACGGATCTATACGTTTCAGAGCCGAAAAACACATTTTTAGCCATTGGTCTGTCTGTCTGTCTGTGCCAAGATTTTCTCGGACTGATTTTGATGCTTCTTTTTTTATTGTGTAGGGTTTTTACTACTGATACCTCTGACAGAAATACGGTGCTCCATGCGCAATTGCGCGCAATAAATGAAAAACATGTATTTCATAAACAGTAGCCCGAAAACGGCTCTAACGATTTTGATGAAACTTTCATATAATGTCCTAATAATTGTCCTTTCAATTTTCGTATATGGACTAAATTCCCGAGAATATTCAGGAAAAAAAGTTATAAACAAAAGAAAAATGTAATAGGGCCTAACTCTCTAAGTATCAATTAAACGGTAAAATTTATAATAAATTTTTTGAAAGGTATTTAAATTACCAACAAAATCAACAAAAAATCATCGGAATCGAACCGGTATTAGCGATGATGTAGCTATTTCTATTTTTTACATATGTTTTAACTTATTAGGATCTATACGTTTCAGAGCTCCCAAATCTTACTCGAATCTTATTTTTGATCAATTTTCAGGATAATAAATCTAGTTCGATTTTTTTTTTTTTTTTTGTTTCTTCATGAACATATGTAAAGATATAAATACTTTTCTGAAATAGGTAGGAAAATCGTGTGAGTGGACACATCAGATAGTTTTTCTTTATTTTCTGGTTTAAATGTTCTCTTAAAACTGAAAACTTTATGTGGCCCCCCTTCAAAAAAAAGATTCTGATGACGCAACTTGCGGCATACAATCCCTCTGCTGTGTGGGCACTCCTGGAAATCTGTTTGCTTTATATGGTTAGTTCAAGTTCAAGTGAGAAATTCTCACTATATATATATATATCTCATTACCCACTATTCTCAGTGAGCTTGCAGATACGGCCACCAAACAAGCACTCCCGCTCTCAGGCTGAGGTACTGGCTAGTCTGACTCCTTCAGAAATGAGTTATTCACTCAAAAAATAAATATCGGATAGTTTGCCATCTATCCTTTATTGGTTTATTATTGGCAAGCTATCAATTTTTCAAATACATAAAATGTCAGCCAGTACTGTTATTTATCAGAAATTACACTAGCTAAATTATAACAGCTATTTTGAATTGAATTTAAGGCTAAATATATTTTGGTTTGAGTTGAATTTATGTACTTCATTGGACCAATTAACTACTACTTTCAAATGAAATGAAAAATAATTTTATTCTGGTACTGGCTGAAATTTTATGAACTTGAAAAATTAAATGTTAGTATTCGTACTAAAAATGTATTAATATTTCAAGGAAGATGAAAATTTCATTTTAAAGTTATGTAGTTAATTCAAACCTATGTACTTTTTATTCAAGTAAATCGGTCATAATTATTCCTCTTACACTGTTCAATTGCTCAATTATCACTTTGTTATTTCCCTCTTATGCTTGTATTTGAAGTGAAAACTTCTTTGGGCTCGCATAGCATTTTATTTTGTAAGTATTGAATGAGACTGAGCAATCTCTCTCGGCAATGTAACGCTTATTCCAGGAAAGTCTGTTTGAATCCACTAATTTTTCAATTTGGATTAAAAACTGAATTTTCGACTTGCATACTGTAGGGGAGAGAAATTTTCAGCATCTCATCCTTTTTGGTATTAGCTATATAAAATTGTATCTGAAAGCGACGCCGGGTTAAAAAAGCGAAAAGAAGGAAACAAAGTGTCGAAATTATAATCATAATAAATAATTATTAAATGTTATATCTATAACTTTCGGCATAGAATGGCTTATTTAAAAACAATATCAAAATTAGTACAACCTCCTTTTCAATACATATATGTTGAAATTGACGTTTCAATAAGTACACTTGAGTTATTCCATCGTATACGAGGTCATCTTCAACAAAATGTCCACCAGCTCCTCACATACACATTGATTTTTCCCATTTTGACTACTACTGTTTGGTATACGGTGGCCTCTCAATGGTATTCAAGGATAAATTGAATCCAATCGTGAATTAAGATTTGTCTTCTATACGATCTCATGTGCCCTGTATTATCTTGGGGCAATGTTTGATCAATATCCGTCCTGGAATAATCATATTTCCCAAATAATTCGAAAATCCATTGCTACCTTCAAAAAGTTCCTAAGATCCCGTGATTGCATGCTCCTTAAAATCCGTCAGCCCCTAGTTTCCTCATTCATTTTCCCTCATTTCGATTATGGCTGCCTTGTATACGGTGGACTGTCTAGTGCGCTTGAGATCAGATTAAAGAGACAAATGAATTGTTTCATCAGATTCGTTTATAGAGTCTCCAGTCGCTCCCACGTCTCCAGTTGGTATGCCGAGTGAAGTGGCTCCATCCAGTCTACCTACGGCAATACTTCCTAGGTGTATTCCTTTTTCGAAGTTTTTCAACTAAAAAACCTTCTTACCTTCTCAATTTGTCGACTCTTTGCTCCTCTGTCTATTCGTTCAACACGAGATTCCAGCCCTCTAACTTGTTTATTCCTTCTCATAGAACCGTTTATTTTAAAAAATCCTTTGTCAGACGTGCTACCTTGATTTGGAATTTCCTACCAACCTTCAAACGCAAATCCTCATTAAAACTTAATTTATTTATCCATCTCTTAAGCAATCAATCTTCCGAATATTTGTGAAATAATGTTCACGTTTCTCAGACCTGTCACCCACATTGTTTATGTGTAAAAATATCTGAACTCGCATATCTTAACTTATCAACAATTTCGTATGTCTACGAGTGCCTTCTCTTAATGGTATTTTTAGATCTAGAGAACCCTGTAATTTCATTTATTCCTAATTATTTCTAATGTCAGACAATTGTCATTAAATTGCACATTGTATTTATTCTAAAGGGACTTAGTCCAAAAATAAAATCCATTTTTCTTCTATCGCGAGTTGAACAGGATTTTTTTCTCCTTCAGGCCGTCAATAGTTCATTGTATTTTAATTATGACAGCGATATACTCCTAGCACTATTATCCTATCTATCGTATCCTACAGCTAACATCTGCAATCCATTAACAGAAAACAAGATGCTGTGTTTCGAACCTCTATACCCCCTCTCACATAACAGAACTAAAACCTTCGAACTTGCCCGCTCAATTACCTTTTTTAATTCCTAGCCTATCTATTATCTGCCATGCTTCTGATTCCCGTCTTCATTCAAATACCTCCTTTTTCAATACCTTTTAAATCTCATACACTCTCTGCAATCGTGAAATTTCATTTTATGAATGGAATCTTGATAAAAGTAAATTGTAATTATTTTTGTTGATTTTATTTCTTCTTTTTTTATAATACTTTTGCTTTATTATTTTCAATAATCAACCATTGTGATCGACCAAAAAATTCAAAAACTTAACCCTCTCTCAAAATTTGAAGTTTCACGTTTCAGGATACGTAGAATTCGAAAAACGAATAAAAAATTTTTTGTCCGTCCGCCGTCCGCTCATTTTCTCCGAAACTACTTGACCGATTTTTTTCAAATTTGGATATAAAATCAGAGGTCATCCGAGGATGATCCTCCTTCATCGACATTACTATCCGCCTTTTACTTTCAAAATGACGGCCGAAAAACCTGCATTGCTATAGACTGTAGCGTCTAAACGAATGTATTGATTTCAATGAAACTTAGCTAAAGTCATTTCCTGGACGCCCTTTAAATTTATCTATATAATATACCTCAACGAAAAGAAGCTGTAAAAAAAGTTACGAGGGATAGGAAAATTAAATTCCGAATAACTCAAAAAGTTGAAACTTTTTTTTATATATTATGATAAAATGTTTCAAAGGTATTTAAATTTCCTAAAAAATGAAGGAAGTTTCATTGAAATCAAATCACTATCAGTAGAGATATCGCGATTTTTAAATATTTTCAATAATGAACCATTGTGAAAGACCAAAAAATTCAAAAGCTTAACCACCTCTGAAAATTTGAGGTTTCACGTTTCAGGATACGTAGAATTCAAAAAACGAAAACAAATTTTTTTGTCCGTCCGCCGTCCGCCCGTATACCCCCGTACCGTATGGTTTTTTAAAAGTTAACGGAATTTCCTAAAAAAACAAAAAAAATCGTCAAGATCAGACAATTAAGAGTGAGATATGGTCTCCAGTTTTTTTTTTTTTTTTTTTTTTTTTTTTTTTTATATGTTCTACTCCAAATGTTATATCCTTTGTTTGGTTTTAAATTTGGAATGTGTTACTGAAGTAATGCTATTTTTCTTTTCGGATATTACTAATGACTAAAAGAAAGTTTAGTCCAAAAAAAGTTTGTAACTAGGAAGGTAATGTTACTTTAGATGTATAGTTGTTTGGAAATAATAAACCATTGTGAAATAATTTGCAGCGTTTTTTTCATTACAATGATATTCTTAAGTTGTTTCTATATTGTAATTAAAGTTTATGTTGATAGAAGTTTTGTTTTTTAGTTTTTTGCCAGAAAGGCCTTGTTTATTTGTACATACATACATACATACATACATACATACATATATATATATATATATTGATGCAGATATACATTACAGGAACCCCTACCAACCACCCTACCGTGTTCTGCTACATGGCGGCCTGGGCCTCTAATAGAGGAGGCCAAGGGAAGTTTACAGTTAGAGATGCAGATACACAGTTGTGTACTCACGTTGTATATATATATATTCACGTTGGATATGGGAATAAATGAAACCACCAGTGAAATAAAAAGCATCAAGCCTAGGGTAGACTTCGAAATGGGAGGAAAGGGCAAAGGTAACCTCTTTCATATTTTTATTATAGTTAATACTATTTAAAAAATAAATAATATATATATATATATATTATTTATATATATATATATCCTCCTCTATTAGAGGCCCTCCTCTATATATATATATTGCCCACCGACCTACTATCAGCCACAGTAAAACTTCAAGAAGTCTTGGATAGGATTTGTGACTGGGCGAGAGCCAACAAGTTAAAGTTGAACTCATAAAGGCAATCTTAATATTTTCCAATCACCTCCTTAAAACTGTTCCTACATGATAATCCCATCAAATTTTATCCCTCGATCGAAAACCTTGGAATGATCTTTGATCAAACGCTTTCCTGGAAAATCATATATCCAACATTTCCATTTCAACATTCCCACCTTAAAACGTCTAAATTACTCCCGTCACCTATTTCCCCATGAAACCCGTAGACTCCTAGTAACTTCCTTAATTTTTCCCCACTTTGACTATTGCTGTACGGTATATGGGGGCGTCTCTGGGGATCTCAAGAGGCGAGATTAAAACATTTGATAAATTGCTTTGTACGATTCATCTTCGGGATCCCAAGGGACGCCTCTGTTTCCCGTTATTATGCAGAGTTGAAGTGGCTTTATCCTTCCTACCGTCGTAAGTATTTCTTGGCATCCTTCTTCTATCAAGTTATTCAATCCCACCGCCCTTCATACATCTCCGAGCTCCTTCAATTCAAATCCTTCGTTCGTTTCCGCAATACTCGTTCCCGGTCTTCTGATTTATATATATACAAGGACCCACTAAACCGCTGTTTTCGACAGATCGTTCATTATCCGATCCTCATCCCTATGGAACTCCATTCCTCCCCACATCCGTCAATCCAAAACCTTCCTACCTTTAAATCCCGCCTGTTCAATCATTTCTTATCCATCCAGTCCCCACAACATTGTAAATAACAACTACTATAAGTATGTATTATTTTTATTTCATGTTTATTTTCAAATTTGCATTTTTTATTATTAACTGATTTAAATTAGTAAGTAACTTATAATTTCTTCTGTTATTTTTTCATTTTGACTATTTAATTACTCTATATTTTTGCTTAGTAACTCTAAGGCTCCTTAGCCCACATTTTTGTTTTTCTGTATTATTCTAAAGGGAATCGTCCCAGAATAAAGAAAGCATTATTATTATTAATATATATTAAGTAGAATGCTTGAGTAAAGCTTGTAAGTAAATAAGATAAGACTTCAACCTCTGTAACATCAAGCGGGTCTGCCGACTAGTAGAAACTCACGAGACCTACAGTCGGGTAAAAGATGGGTTTCATTGGACATGGACGTAGAACTTATTTATTTGATTTGATTCGGATTTACTTGATATACAGGGTGTTTCGGGGTCAATTGGCCAAACTGCAAAAATGAATTAAGGACTTTAACCAAAAAAAAAAAATTCTCTGAAAGTATATCCGCAAACGCTTTGTTTAGGAGATATTCACAACTAAAGATTTTCGTTGTTATGAATTATTTGCGTTATATAAAATAAATAAAACCTATTTATTTGTTATAACTACTTTATTAAGTAAGTAAACATTACATCCATATTAAACGTTGTTGAAAGTGATTTCCTTGAGCATTAAGGAAATCACGGCATCTTTCTTCAACAGCAGCAATGGAAGAACGGCACTATCTGTTATTGTTTCAGAATATTCGATTATCCTTCTTCGTAAGGAATTAAGGTCACTGACCGGACTTACATAGACTTTTTGTTTGATGTCATAACAAACAAAAAAATGCAGTGGTGTCAGGTCTGGAGAGCGTGCAGGCTAAGCCTATATGTGGTATGATTGAGCAAGTTTTATCTATTTCATATAACATAAATAATTCGTAACAACAAAAATCTTTAGCTGTGATTATCTCCTAAACAAAGCGTTTGTGGACATACCTTCAAAGGATTTTTTTTTTTCTTTTTTTGAAGTCCTTGGTTCATTTTTGCAGTTTGGCCACTTAACCCTGGAACACCCTGTATATTTCATATAGAAGTAAGTGAAAGTAATAAGTGCTCTAAAGCATTCACATTTTTATGCCATCATCCTTTTTTTTCCCTTCAACAATCATTGGTAGAAAACAATTTGTAACGGGGAAACTATGATGTGGAGTCAGAGCATGTTAATTAGTTTTATTTTAGATCCTTCTTATCTTAAATATTTATGCATTCAAGTTATGTCACATTGCAGGTCAGCTAAAAGAACTAAAAGTCCTGAAGACCTTTAATCCAAATATCAAAGTACTTGTCAGTGTTGGAGGGTTATCCGAAGGCTCAGTCAAGTTTTCCGAAATGGCAAGATCTTCTGCAAAGAGAACAGCTTTCGTCAACAGTCTTGTGAAGTTCATAAAGTATTTACAAAAAAAATTGATCATTTCTTGTAATATTTTAATGTTGATCGCAATTGTTAATGAAAAATCCTAATTTATTTCAACAGAGAGTGGGAATTGGACGGCATCGATATCTGTTGGCAGTTCCCTGGTCAGACAGGAGGAAGACCAGAGGACAAAAGGAATCTTGTTAAACTCTTAATGGTAATCCAATGAATGAATATCCAGTAATCTCGTCATGAAAAGAGGGGATGGTCTAAGTTGCATCGAATGGGGGTAGAAAGTATATATTTTTTCTTGTATGGTATGTAACTGAGATTCAAAATCCAAGTTTTCGGCAATGGTAAAATATAACCATATTTTATGAAAAAAAGTTAATAATTACTTCTAAAAGTATTATTGTTTGTGTGATTATATTTAATAGTGCTTAAAGAATCACTTAAAATCTATTCCATATAGGTAGTTAGTTCTCTTATTTTAACTACTATGTAATTCTAGTTATATATTAGAAAAAAAGAGAAGGGTCTATCTAAAATAACATCAGTAATATCTGGTTCAACGAATAAAATTCTGTTTGAAATTAACGGAGGGTTGTACAGTGTTTTAAAGTGCATAAGCCAATCTTGTAATGATATATTACCTACAGACCAGTAATTAATTTTTCTAAATACTTTTACAAGTTCCCAAAAATCTTTCCTATTATTAACGTCTTATTAACCTTATTCAGACGCTGGACACAATCTATATAATATTGCTTCTTTTTTAGTAAACATAGACTTTTATAAGTACTATTTGAATTTAAATACTGTAATTTATTGCGAGGGGACGAAGTTTTTCTAAATAACTTTAAACTTATAAATGACATCTTTCTACCCTGGAAACACTCTTTATCAAACCATGGATTTTTACTTTTATATACTGACCTTGGATAAGGATTATAATTAGCAGACCTCTTGATGATATTTGAGAGAATGTCTATCAAATCTTCCACCGAATGCTCATTTACAGATAAACGGTTTACAGATAAACTAACTCATTTTGTCTCAACCAATTAATTTTTGGGAGAAGTGGTAAAGTAGACTGTTCAATTACCTTATTTTTAATTTTGAAAGAAGTAATAATTGGCATGTTGTCCGAAAAAATCTGATAATCAACAGTGTTATTTCTTACTACTAATAATTGTAGCATGTGTAATACAAACGAAACAGAAGATATCTATCACTTCCTGGCTGCTTGTCCGATATTCTCTGAATTTAGAATCAAATGGTTAAAGTCTAGAAATTTATCTCGGGATCAAGTGATTGATTTATTAAATGGAATCAATTGTATAGCATTGGTAAATTACTGAAAGTCTGCTTTCTCCTATAGAATAATGCTCACCAGAGAATTTAATAATCAATAAATTGGAGAATTTTGGTACCACTGTTTTTGTAATTAAAATATTTGTATAACTTTTACATTGTAAATATAACTGTTCTTATTTTCCTATTAATTATTTGTATATAAATAGACTGAAATATAATTTTGTTATGAAACACAGACTCCTCTGACGGTCAACAGACCATGTATGACGTCTGATTTTCGGTTTTAAATCCAAAAATATTATTTTGTATCGTTTTGTAATTTTGATAAATAAAAAGACGTTTTCTTCTTTCTTCTTCTTCTTCTATTAGAAAAAAAAATCTTTCGGGCTGAAGTCCCCTCCAAAACTAAATCCTGAATCTGCTAGTGAATTAATGCATGAAGTAGTCAACTAAATATTCAAAATCACCAATAAATTTACTTTATAATTCTATCGTTTTCGATAATTATAGGACATAAAAAGTGTATTCGATCCAGAAGGATGGTTACTCACTGTCCACATCACCGCAAAACGTTCTGTAATAAATCTAGGCTACGACTTGAGATCTATCTCGGAGATAGTTGATTACATAAACCTATCTGCCTTGGAATATCATGGACCATGGGATAGGACTACAGGAATCATGGCTCCTTTGAGATCTAATAATGAAAATAATGTTGTAAGTTATAATTTATAATTAAAACTGTCAACAAATTATGTAGAAAAATACTTGAATTATTTATTTTTTTAATTTCAGGAATATATGGTTAATTATACCATATCTAAGAGAGCTAGCCCCAGTAAGATATTATTGGGTCTTCCGACTTACGGCTTTTCTTATATCGTCGAGGATGAAATTAAAAGAGGTCAATATCTTGGATTGAATTCTGATCAGACATTTAAGTCAAAGTGGACAAACAAACGTGGAGTAATAGCTTACAATGAGGTATTCACACCATGTTTATATTTTGTCTGGAATCTGGTTATATAAGGGAAAACATTATCTTAAAATTGTCTTGTCGTAAACCAATGACTTCCTGTCCTTCAGTATCCTTTAACAACACCTCACTTATTCCTGTTGAACAAATCCGTTACCTAGGACTCCACCTGGACAAACGTCTAACTTGGAATCCTCATACCAGACTGAAACGACAAGAAACCGCTCTTACTAGACAAACGCTCTAACCTTCTGAATAATTACAAAACACTCATATACTTGACTATTATAAGGCCTATTTGGACTTACGGAGTTGAGCTATGGGGCTTCACTAAACCATCGAATTCCTCTCGTATCCAATCCTTGCAATCCAAAATCCTTCGTAATATCCTGAATTATCCCTACTTTGTTACAAATAAAATCATCCACAATGACCTTAATGTTCGTTATGTATCAGATTTGGCCCAATCCAGATATCTATCCTTCCATAATAAACTTCATAACCATCCCAACCCTCTTGTTTCTAACCTTGCTTCCTTTTGAATTGTTGATAACCATCCGAGGCGTCTGAAAAGAAGATGGCCCCGTGATCTCCTAATATAGTCATATTACTAGAGTGCTACCAATGGGTAGTTTCTCAACATGTGGTTCATGTCATTATATCCATGTACGAATTTACTAGATGTAATTTTTTTTTTTTTACAGTTGTAATTATCATATAAATAATAATTTAAAAAAAATAAATAAAAATCGTCTTGATGCAAAACAGACTAAATAATGATTCATAACACAATTTTTATGTTAAATATTTAGATTCATAAACAGAGATATTTGTGATAGTCCGTGGTACAGATCCCTTTTTATCAAATTATTACCATTCGCCTACTCGTTCGTGAATAGCTTTATCTCATTATAACCTACAACTTCATTGTTTTCAAAAATTCCCCAGAAATTGGGGCGTTTTCATTCTGATAAATAGATGTTAATTATTTTTAAACAAATCGTTTGATTTCAAGAAACCGAACACTAACTTTATCGTGTCTTCATCATCCCTCCAAATGTTTGCTATTGGTGATGTAAGTCTTGAACTAGTTAGACCCGATACGTAAAAGTGACACCCCTGTAAAATGTGGCTGACTGTAAGTATATTATTACAGTGTATAGAGAAACTTTCTAATATATTTAATTAGATACTTAAAACTCATGAAAACCCATTTGCTTTCCACTTGAATCGTAAGATAATATGATCACAAAATCGATTAAAAAAAAAATGGTGGCCTACAAAAATATTGGGCCTTTTGGCCTACATAACCTTGTTATTTTGACACTTTGTGTATGTAGCTCGATAACTAATAAGTGCACACGGCTCAATACTTTTGAAGGCTACCTTTTTTTTTCGACTTTGTGCTGACATTATCTTACGATTCAAGTGGGAAGAAAATGGGTATTTACGAGTTAATAAGACAAAGTTTGACAAGCTCTGGATTGAAAACGCTCCAATTCCGAGAATTTTCGTAAATAAAATATTGATATGTTACTATGAGATGAAGCTATTTACGAAGTTTCAGGCGGATGTTAATAATTTCATAAAAACGGACCTGTAATAACTTATTAGATTAGCACACAAGAATCATTTATAATTTCTGCTGATTGCTTAGCATGATAACACAATAAGCATTTACTACAGGCCACTAACGGATCCAGGATTTAATTTTTGGAGAGGCTTCAGCCCGAAAGGTTATTTTTCATATACACATAACAATAATTACTTTTTTAAAAAAATAAAGAAATTAACTACCTATATGAAATGGTGTTTGAGTGGTTCTTAAAGTCCTATTAAATGTAATTAAACGAACAAGAATACTTTAAGAAATAGTTTATATTTTTTTTCTCCTCAATGCTCCTTACTTTGTCACTAATAAAATTATCCATAAAGATCTTAATGTTCCTTATGTTTCAGATCTTATCCAGATACCTATCCTTCCATAATAAACTTCAGTCATTCCAACCCTCTCGTTTCTAACCTTGCTTCCTATTCAATTCCTGATAACCCTCCGAGGCGTCTGAAAAGAAGATGGCCCCGTGATCTCCTAATGTAGTCATATCATTAGAGTGCTACCATTTGGTAGTTACTCAGCAAGTGTATTCATGTCATTATATCTATTATGTCCAAATTTACTTGATGTATTTATGTAATACAGTTGTAAATGTCATTAAGAAATAAAAAAATTTAAAAAAAAATATTTTTTTTCTGTAAAACATGGTTATATTTTAAAGTTTGGAGGGGGGCTTCAACCCGAAAGCCTCCCTTCCCCGTAAATCCGCCTACAGGCTGAATTAATATTACGTAACATATTTTTGTTTTAGATTTGCTATGAAATGAAAACTGTTGGTGGTTGGGTTGAAGAATGGGATTCCGATTCAAGTACACCAGTAGCTTATAACGATAAAAGATTCGTCAGTTATGATAACAAGAGAAGTTTACTTAAAAAGGTAATCTTTAATTTTTTTATCATTACATTAATAATTTTGTGTGTCTTTATTTATAAATAAAAAATGAATAGCTAAATTGTTTTTAGAACATTATAGACAATAGAAGCCTTAAGCCTTGATATATATGATTTTCGGTTTATCAGTAACACCAAATAAATACATTATAAAGATTTTTACTTTATTTTATTTCTGAGTAATTTTTACTTCCACTTACCTACATATGTAATATGTATTTGATGGAAAATGGAAAATTTAATTTTTATTTTTTTTTTTTTTAGACGAAATTAGTTAATAAATATAAACTCGGAGGCATCATGTTGTGGTCATTGGATATGGACGATTTCCTTGGCCTATGTCATAATCAAAAGTACCCCCTGCTTTCTGCCGTCACTGAATATCTTGAGCAACAAGACAACAGTTACATACCAAAAAAAAAAGTTGTGGTCGAAACATATGGCAAATGAAGTCTAAATTCTTAATGTCAATGTCTTGACAATCCCTATATGTTTTTATATGATATATTTTTATACGCTGCTTAATTGTTATTAATTGAATAAATATTTAATGAAGATATTTCCTTTTTTTTTTCACTTCATATGGACATGGTTTGATCGACGAGTGTCTGGTTAGAATAGGAGAAACCTAACTAAGCCTGAATGAAAAATTAGAAGAATTAAATGAAAAAGTATACTGGTTATACCAATTATTTACTCCCCGGATTTAAAAGACTCTCCGGCACCGGGACGCGAACTCATTACTATTTTTTCTTAATTGTCATAAATCTGGTTGCCAGGCAATGGCGGTGCTGTGCACACACATTAGTCCATTCGGCCACTCCGTCTACTTCTTTTTATTTTCCTACCTATACTAGGTAAGGAAACTATTGCAATCGGGTCAAATTTCCGACATGCGGTTTTCGACGGATCTATACGTTTCACAGCCCCCTGAGTCCGAAAAACACGTTTTTAGCCATTGGTCTGTCTGTGCCAAGATTTTCTCGGGAACTTCTAAACCGATTTTGTTGCTTCTTGTTTATTTTGAAGGATTTTGCCTACTGATACCTGTGACAGATATTCGTTGCTCCATGCGCAATATATAAACTTGCGCGCAATAAATGAAAAACATGTTTTTCTATAAACTGTAGCGCAAAAACAGCTCTAATGATTTTGATGAAACGTTTCTATGATGTTCTAATCATCGTACTTTCAATTTTCGTATATAGACTAAATTCCCGAAAAAATTCAGAAAAAAAAGTTATAACGTTTCACAGCCCTCTGAGCTATAACGTTAAGCCTATCGTTTGAAAGGTAATGCAATTCCCTACAAAGCCATATAAAAATCGTTCATGTTGGACAACTATTAACCAAGTTACAGCTATTCAATTTCCAATGAAAGATTACGAGTTTATTTCCTGGTGTCAGAAAGGGGTGAATAAGAGAATAAAGATGGCTAAGTAAAAGTAAGAAAATTTGTCAGCATGACACAACCTTCACTATTTTCTCTACTTTTAACAGAAATTATTGTTTGACAATACTAAGCTATGGCAAAAAGTTTTTGATCAGCAATATTAGTGAGTACTGAAATTTTTACACTGATATACCTTAAATCGGTTTCATTGCTTTAGTTTATTAAATAAATCGTACTCAAATCTTTTGTTTGATCAATTTTCAGGAAAATATATCTAGTTCAATTCTTTTTTGTTTCTTCATGAACATATGTTAAGATATAAAAACTTTTCTGAAATAGGTAGGAAAGTCGAGTGAGTGGACACACCAGATTTTTTTGACTTGTATTAAATGAAATAATTTCTCTGTCTCTCACTCAGGGGTGCCATCCCCACGCCCCTCCCCCTCCCCCAAGGTCGATAGCGCAAGAGCCTACCTCTCCACCCTCTTCCCAATATATTTTATTAGTCACCATTTCTTAAAAACAAACCTAAGATAGAATTAGAAAAATCGTAGATCATATACAATTACACTAGCTGCGGTCTGTTCCATGTTTTCCCCTTGTCTTTTAGTCCGGCCTTCATCCTTCATCCTTAATCCTTCGGCCAACATTCCTCATTTAGAATATCTATTTGTAGGAATTTCATCGTTTTTTATTGTCCTACCCTTCCTCGTCATTTCGGCTATAGAGGATTTCCCTGTGCCAAGAGAGAGGGTGGGTGATTAATGTTAGAGTAAAGCCCCTCCCCTCGCACCGGGACACGAACTCATAATTATTTTATCACATTAACATGTGTTTTTACAAGCTCTGGTAAATATGCGGCGGTAATCTACAGGTAGACCTCAGGGTTTGGCAGAAAGGTCCATGTGGCCCAACTGCCGGACTAATTTGTATCACGCATTGCCCTGCACTAAATAAGTTAAAGTTAAGCTGGTGGAATTATCACGAATTCGCGTCCACGTGCCAGGGGGGCTTTTAACTCTGGTATTGGTGGGGACCTTCCCCCTGGTTTGGGAAAAACCTATGTCGCCTAAACGACTAGGATGAGGAGGAAAAAAGAAAACTGGATCAAAAATCCATCGTATTCCTTACTTTAATACATAATACTCCGATCCACATATTTTCCTGATCCTTGGAAACTATTTATTGTCAAATTGATACGAAAAGCCACCCGAACACCTATCATATCTCTTTATTACCTATCATGAGTAAAATCAATGGGTAAATCCTGGAAAACTCATCTTTAAACGCCTAGATCACCAGCGAAATCCCTGATCAACAATTTTATTCAGCACATCCCATTCGAGGTTTTCGTCCATCTTTCCAAAACGAAAGGTCGGATGTTAATTAAATGTATATAAAAACACTTCTGAATCCGATGGAAAGGTTATAACAAAATTTCAAATCAATCGGTGAAGAAGTTACTTCGGAGATTAGCGATTTTGAAAAAAACGAACATTGACATCTTAATTCATGTATATATGAATAATACAGAAATACAGAAATGTGGCCTAAGGAGCCTCATAGATACATAAACAAAAATACAGAGTAATTAAACAGTTACAGTTAAACAATTAAAGTTTTTTTTTTCTATTCATTTGTTTATCCGCAACTCTCATGGTATTGACAATCAGCAGATGTGTTACTTTCTAATTTTAATCAGTTCAAAAAATAAAAAATTGGAACAAATATGAAGTAAAAATAATGAAGAACGTACTAATAATTTATACACATATTTACAGTAGCATCTATTTACAATTTCATGGGAACTGGGGAAAAATAGAAAATGTCACAACCGAACCAACACCAAAGACCTTATTGACATTTTCTTTTTTTTTTTAATTTGCTAAAAAAATAAAAAATAGTCCAAAATCACTATTATTGTATTATGTAATATTATGAAATAATTTAATCGATTATAAATAATAAGGCATAAACATTTGTGTAAGAATCAACTTTAGGTCTTCCTCCAGCGCTTTCTGATTATTAGGTCGTGGTACAGACCAGTTTTTATCAAATTATTAACATTCGTTTAAAACTTTGGGAATAGTTTTATCTCATCGTAACCTACAACTTATTTTTTTCAAAAAAATATTTTTATTTTTATTTATAAAAATTATCGGAATTAGGGTGTTTTCAATCTGTAGGTTGGCAACTTTGTCTATTTAATTAGGTACTAAAAACTCGTAAATACCCATTTGCTTTCCACTTGAATAACATAATTTGATCACAAAATCGATAAAAAAGTTGAAATACAAAAATATTTGTCCTATATAATCTCGTTATTTTGACAATTTGGGAGTGTAGGTCACGCCAAACGGCTCAACATTTTTGAAGCCCGCCTTTTTTATTGATTCTGTGCTCATATTATCTTACGATTCAGGTAGAAAGAAGCAAATGGGTATTCAAGAGTGTTTAGTACCCAAATAAATAGACAAAGTTTGCTCCCCTCCTGACTGAAAACGTCCCAATTCCGAGAACTTTCATAAATAAAATATTAGTATGCTACGATGAGATGAAGTTATTTACGAAGTTTATGGAGGATGTTTATAATTTGATAAAAAGGGGTCTGTACCAAGGGCTATATCTAAACAAAAAAATAAAATAATTTACTTGTGTCACAACCTTACCCAGAAAATGAGTCAGAACCGTATCTAACGCACTCCTTCACAAAAAAAGCAGTCGTCCCGATAATCGGAAATTATCTACATACAAAGTAAATGCTAATTAACAACTAATGTTTAATTTATAACGAGGAAAAACATCCATTATTCTAAATTTACATCCAAAACAACATTATAAAATATTACAAAGCACATATACAAAACGCTGCAAATTATTTCACAATGGTTTATTATTTCCAAACAATTATACATCTAAAGTAACAACCTTCCGAGTTACAAAGAAAAAAAAACAAAAGGTGATTCCAATTATTGGACTTAACTTTTTTCTTTAATTATAAGTTATATGCTAAAAAAAATAACATTAGTTCAGTAACACATTCAAAATTTAAAAACCAAACCAAGGATATAACATTTGGAGTAGAACATATTAAAAAAACCGGAGACCGATTTTTTTTTGTTTTGTTTTTTAGGAAATTTCGTAAACTTTAAAAAAACTATATACTATATCAACTATACCAACAAAAAAGAAAAAACTTTTCGAGTTATTCGGAATTTAATTTTACCATCCCTCGGAACTTTTTTTCCAGCTTCTTTTCGTTGAAGTATGTTATATAGATAAATTTAAACGGCGTCGATAAAATGACTTTAGCGAAGTTTCATTGAAATCTGTACATTCGTTTAGGAGCTACAGTCTATAGCAACGCAGGTTTTTCGGCCGCCATTTTGAAAGTTAAAGGCGGAGAGTAATGTCGATGAAGTTGGATCATCCTCGGGTGACCTCTGATTTTATATGAAAATTTGAAAAAAAATCGGTCTTGTAGTTTCGGAGAAAATGCGCAGATGGCGCACGGACAAAAAAAATTGTATTCGTTTTTCGAATTCTACGCGTCCTGAATTCGTGAAACCTCAAATTTTGAGAGGGGGTTAAGTTTTTGAATTTTTTGGTCGATCACAACGGTTCATTATTGAAAATTATTCAAAGAAATGGAATAAAAAGTTACTTTTGCCTGTTAAATAACGATGAAGACCTCTATCAGCGTTAAGATTAGGCGATTCGTTAGCAATAATGTTAAATACGTTAAGACCGGTACAACATCCCATTTTTTCTAATAAACCTATCGGCAATTCCTTATAGTTTCGCTAATATAATGAGTGTCATACAGACATCCGCACCCTGGCACTAACGTACCCATTTCTATTTTATATGCGATGTTTAAAAGTCTACATTAAAATAGTTCTTACATCTTTAAAACAAAAAAAAAAACGATATTTTTTACCTCCGTATCGTGCGTTCTTCCATCCAATCCTTCATTTCCACTCTCAATCTATCTATTTTCATATTCAATTGACTGTTTCTAGTCAAGATCAGTAACATGAGGAAACGGAAAATTCATTGTGTAAAATGCGGAAAAAGGTTTTTATTTTTTTAACTTATATAAAAAAAAACAAATTTCATGAAGAAATATTGAGAAATATGATTGATGTATATTAAAACTGTTAGTACTAAGTGGACGCAGAATTTGATACACTATAACTTTTATTCTATGAGTTTTGCTCGTTGAGAATTCATTCCAAAGCTGCAACGCCATTTATAGTAAATTGCCTGTTTTTGACGAATTTGGTAAAAATCGGCGTTCGTTGACCGTGGTTAACGAACATACCACTTAACCAAATTATTAAGTTTAGGTACTCGTTCGACTCACAATTTAATTTATGAAAGAAAAAGTATTTTCATAATGATGTAGAGATGGTTGACCGTTGATATAATATGAGAAGGAGTTAGTCGAGGGTGCGGTCAAATAAATAAAAAAATTAAAATATATAAATTATTTTAATTTTTGCCGACGTTTCGACCAACTTTGCACTTAAAATGAAAAAAGTATTTTCCTTTGTTACACTGTTTAGGAGCTATAGGTGAAAAATATCCAAATAATCTGGATTTTTTTGTTATAAAAAGTACTTGGTGGCCCGTCCATGTTTCCCACAACAAGCCGCACCGATCCAATTTCTATTGGATAGACGACGGCCATGTTCGACACGTTGAATCCTGTCACGGGCGGATCTACGGGGGGGGAGGCTTTCGGGCTGAAGCCTCCCAAAAATGGCAAAATATAACCATGTTTTATCGAAAAAAATATTTAAAAAGTATCTCTTAAAGTATTATTGTTCGTGTGATTAATATTAAAAGAGCTTTAGGAATCACTTAAACACCATTTCATACAGGTAGTTAGTTTCTTTCTTTTTTTCCAAAGTAATTATAGTTATTTTTATGAAAAAAAAGCTTTCGGGCTGAAGCCCTCCCCCAAAATTAAATCCTGGATCCGCTAGTGAATCATGTGGAGAGATGACGCATTCGACAGGCAACAACGGTCAACTTGTAGCATGCGGCAAGGAGATATATCTTTTGTCGCTTTGTGTTCCTTCAATGGAAAGACTGTGTGCCGCATGCTACATGTTGCCTCAGTGAAATTCTGCCTTTTGTCTATAGAGCTCAGGGACTGAAGTTGTGTATTTCAAATACACTGATGCAGCTGCATCTAAGGTTTCCATTGGCTACAATCGATATTATAAATATGGTTTATGTTATTGTGACAGTTTTAATGAGTTTTTGTATTGATTAATATGACCGAAATTCAAAAATATGTTGTTTAAGGTTTAGCTGTATTAAAATGCGCTTCAAAAACTTCTTGTAATAACCAAATTTTTCTAGACAAGAATTGTTTTCGAAGTACAACAGTAAGTAAAATTTCTGTAATGAGCGCACTAGATTTTTTAATGTAAATGTTCAAAAAACGCATTTAATGTATTCATCAAATAAAGTCTATTTTTTCTTATTGGCTCTCGGAATTCATATATGCCAAGTTTAAATATTTCGAGATGTCAATTTCCCAATCAATCTACCAAGATGTTTCAGTAGAGAAGGACGTATATTCTCTCAGGGTGGATAAAATTTCACAATTTCTGTCAGGTTTTTTTTAAATCTAATCGAAGTTTTTTTCAACTTATTTTTTTAATATTGTTAGTTAGTTATCATTTTTATATACAAATATCTACAACTATTATTTAGTAATTTGTTACAAATTGAAACTTCTGTTTTAACATGTATTTCAAACATCCATGAAACATATTTTTTCTTCTATACTTTATTTAAAGCAGTGCTGCCCTACTATATAGGGTTGTTCAATACACAGCATACTCATCAATGCTTGATATTTGTACATAGCTCTTAATTAGACTTAAATCACATACATATATATATACATATATATATATATATATATATATATATATATATATATATATATATATATATATATATATATATATATATATATATATATGTATATATATATATATATGCAAATTCTTTTTCTCCTTTTTCATATCACTTACCATATACAATATCAATACTTATACTATACCAACATATACTTTAATACCATTATACAATATATAGGTATATATTTCGGTAAAACCGATACAAAACAAACTCTGATTTTATAGAATAAAAAAGATATTCCAATGTCAAAATTCCAAAGTTAGAAAATTATAACGCACACATACCAAGTAACATAATCCTATTAACACAAATAGAAAGATATGATTAACTAAATAATACTTTGATATTTTAGTTCTTTAAAAGCATTTCATATTATATTTTTAACCACTAATAAATATTATGTTTTAATTATTTTGGCAACGTTCTTGAGGCATATTATTGTAATTTAATATCTTACACTTTTTAGTACATGTTTAGAGACTTTTAAATAAAATTATATTGCCATATTTTGTGGGGTTTTACTGCATATGATTTAGTCCCAGAATGTTTTTCATGATTTATATTTCAATTTAAATCCAACGTCACTTAAATTCTATTCTATTACCTCGCTTATTAGTTTGTTTAGTTGAAGACATTATTACATGACTTTCTCGCTAAAACGATTCAATGGAAATTGCATGACTCATTTGTTTTTACCTTCATGCAAACAAGTGATGTGATCGACTGGAAGTTTCCTTATTGCTTTGTTCCGAATATCTGTTTCGATACTCTACCGAAAGCAGTATATCCACATCAAATTGATATCACATAATTATTATCGATACTGTAGGTTTATAAATATAATACATTACTTCTCTATAATTCTCCGGTTTGTTAAGATTTAATGGTAATATCGCTATTTTTCCGCGTTCTAGAGTTCAGTTGATGGTTTTCCTGTTAAACTTTATCCACTAGATTGCCTAAGACAGACGTCATGCGATGTCGCTATACACGAGAATGTTATAACGGGCAACGTTCTAACAAACACGGCCATCACGATCTGTTCAATACCGTCGGTACAGAGTAGGAATGGACATCTATAGTCAATAATATCGAAATAAGAATATCTGTCTTCCGATATTTGATATTTTACTATTGATGGCATCTACTTCTATATTATAGACTATCGGTATCGTCTCAGATAACTGAACTGAAGGAAATAATAGAAAGATTCGGGCTAAAAATATCATTTGAAAAAAACCGAAATAATGATTAACGAGTAGGCCCGTGCGAAAAATTCGCACAGCATATTGCTATCAAATGCCAAATTAATAAGAAAAGAAATTAATGCAACGTATCAAAAGCTAAAGAAATCAATTATTACTTTATAGATAAATATAATCGACAAAAGGACCAAAATTAAGTTAAATCTTCATTAATGTTTCCGACCAACATGTTTACAAATTTCAATAAGCTGTATCTTTTCAAAAAATTGTCAGATTTCGATCATTTTTTTTTTCCTTTTGTAGGGAATTTAGTAATATTTTAAATCACCGTGGGCATAAGGGAAAAAAGTGTACTTTTTTAGTTATTCGCAAATAAAATTTGTTTACTTTCATAACTTTTTTCCCTCAATATTCGAGGTGATTGGATTATTTTGTCCGTCTGAAGGGGAAGGAAGCCTTCGAAATTGGTGGCTCAATCTTGAGGTGAAGAATTAACGATGATATGGCTTGCCGATCAAAACTCCATCGATGAATAATATAAACTCCCCCTCTCTTGGTCATAGAGGCCTCAAGTCGACGAAATGAGACATGTATTCAATGACAGTACCGCAATTAGCGTAAGGTTGTGTGTATGCGAACCCTATGGCTTGCGTTTTCTCGAAAATAGTGCGTGTTTGAGCTTAAAAACACAACTAAGAACTATCCGGGTGTCTTGCTGTACACATCAAAATCTTCAAGATCCAATTTGTCCAGTTTCGATCTACAGACCTACCACCGTTTGTATCGACTTTATTTATTTTAGAAATGAAAACAAAAGTGGAAATCACGATTCGCTAACCCCCCGTGAAATTCTGAATCCAACGGTACCCCATTCATGGTATTTGAGCATGACAGGAGCTTATATTTGGTACAAAACCGATTTCTAGCCTTACTGTAATAATATATATATATGGGAATGATAAGGGAAAAAAATAAAAAATCGAGATTAAATTCGAAAAAAAATCAGAGAGGTAAAACAATTTAAATACCTTGGGGAACTCGTAAACTACAATGGGAGGGACATGCAAGCAACAAGGAATAGACAATGGATAAATTAAGATTTTTAGTCAGATGTTTGTATAATAAAAAGAATCAATTCCAGGAAAGCCAAAATTAGACATTATGACACAGTAATAAAGTGGTACTTATGGGGAGGGGAGGCTATGGGATTTAGCAAAATGGAATCCTTACTGAGAACTGAAAGAAAGATTCTGAGCATAATATACGGACCGAGAAAGGTGGGGGAAGACTACCGGTTAAAAAAGAATGATGAGCTTTATGAACAAATTGAAAACTTTGAATCACCGATGAGAAAAAAGAGATTAAAGTTCTTCGGACATATGAAGAGAATGGATCTGAATAGGCTAAACAAACAAATATTCGATAGAGTAATGGGACTGAAGAACATAAAAGGTTATCCAGAACAAATAAAAAAAGACGTGAAAAAGTTGGTATCAAAGAAGATGACTACTAAATTCGGGCAAATAGTGAAAAATATAATGGTTCCTGTAGCGGATAAGAAGAAGCCAGAAAGTCAGAAATGGACAGAGGAAAGAAGAAGGGAGATGGGAGAAAAAATGAAAAGAATATGTGCAGGAAATAAAAAGACCTAGAAGTAATATACGCGAGGTCGATCGTTGGCCTGTATCACGATAAATAAATAAATAAACAAAAGAAAAAAAGCTTTCGGGCTGAAGCCCCCCTCTCCGAAAATTTCTGGATCCGTTAGTGCTTTCCCCACCCTGGTAATACTGATCTTGTTTGCTCCCTCTGTTGGTATTCCCCAGCATTACCGGTTGCTTTGCGTTTTCCTGCTATTGATATTCAGTGTTGTCTTGTCAGTCAATTGAATTACTTCTCCAACAATTGAGGTGTGTATAAATACATATATACTTTATTTAGTATCCTATATAAGCTTAGATATTAAACTTTGTTTAGTTCTTATTCCTAATATTTGCCTTTCCACTTCTTTGATTTACTATGGTATTATGAAATGAGAGCTGGTAAATATCAGACATAACATTGATGCATAGACGATTCCAAATTTTTAAAATATATAAGAGATCCCTTAAAGTATATATTGGTATATAAATAACAAAACACTTAACATACAATTATATTTGTTACAAACAGGTATTCAATAATATTTTAGTAATAAACTAAAACAGGAATGGGATTATTGCACTTCCTGAAACTTTGATGAACGGTAAAACAATACTAAATAAAATAATAAAAACAAACAATAAAACTTCAGCATTATTATATTTTTTTTCCTTCGCTAACTTATCAGCCCTTCAGGCCATTTTCAGGAGGAAAAAAATTTTTTTTTTAAATTCAAACCATTTATACTAATTTGACTTTCACATTTTTTATACTGTACTGATAAAAAAAGTTGTCAATGCAAATTCTAACTAGTCCAATTTTTTTCCCTTTAAAATGCTTTAAAATTCGATGAAAAATAAATTAAGACTTATAGATCAAATGCGAATTTTTATTATTAATAATAAAATACAAAATAATCCCACGACAAAGATATCATATCTTCTTTTTTTTTTAATCGGGTCAAATTTCCAATGTGCAGTTTTCAATATATTGTTATGGTTCGTTTAGATATTCCACAAACTATGGCAAACACTATTATCTAAGTTAAATAACAGCGACATTATTGCTAAACCAAACTATTTATTTTATTTTATTGCTGTCGAAAGCAGTTGGAAAATGTCAAAAACAAGAAACAAAAATACTATGCTAGTATTTTTAGTATAGAAAGACCATTTATTTGTTTATAACATAGTTTGTGAAATGTTCAAAGACACCTTTAAGTTTCAGAACTCACTCCCTCCTCACCGTGTTCAAAAACACTTATTTTGGCCTTGGGTCTGTCTTCGTACGTGTTTGTACGATTATCTCGGTAATAAGTAGACTGATTATATTGATTTTTTTTTTTGTTTTGTTTTTAATTAAAAACTTCTTCAGGAAACATTAGTTAATATTCACTGCATTGGCCACAATATTTTCTTTAACTCTTAAAAATGGTAAGAGCCATTGTGACAATAAACTCGGAAAAAAATTAAATTCTTTTATGGCAGTGGGTGAATTGAAAATGCCGCTGTTTATTTGTCTTAACTACAGAAGTGCCCATCCCCCCTTCTCTAAGGTCGATGTCGCATGAATTACTCCCTCCCCTCCCCGCTCCGAAGATATTTTATTGCTCTCTTCTTCTTAAAATTAGTACAGAGCGAAAATAGAATTTAAAAATCGGAGATTATATCAATTACACTTGCTGCAGTCTGTTCCATACTTTTTCTTTGACCCCTGGTTTGAAACATTTCAATCTGCAAATTTATAATCCTTTCGAAACGTGCTCCCCCTCAAAAATTTTAAAGCATTTCTTCGAATAGTTGCAAAATTTATATTAAAAAATAAGAGTCTGCTACCTGGGTTTAAACATGTAAAAAACAAAATTCCTAACGCTGTCCATCAATGAAAAACTTTTTACAGCCAAAAAAGCCAGATCTTTTGTCGTTTTTTTTTTTTTTTCATCTATAGCTCCTAAACGGTGTATCAAACCGAAAAAACGATTTCTTTATGAAATTAGATAACGTTAAACTGTGCGCCGAACGAGTACCAACTCTTACTAATTTGGTTAAACGGTATTGATAACCACGTTAATGAACGCTGATTTTTATTATATTTGTCGAAAACTGAGACAAATTACTATAAATGGACCTGCAGTAATTTATCTCAGTTTTTGACGAATATGTTAAAAATAAAAGTTCATTGGCCGTGGTTTTCGACTAGAACATTTAATCAAATGAATTTGTTCGGCGTCCAATTTAACTATCTTTAATCTCTCAAAGAATACGTTTTTCGATTAGATGCACCATTTAGGAGTTATAGGTGAAAAAACAAATAAATATTTTAAAAATCCGTCTTTTTGGCTGTAAAAAGTTTTCTCTTGATGAACCGCATTGCTATTTTTTTTTTTTTTTTTTTTACATGCCTAAACCAATATATACAAGTTAAAAAATACAAATTTATTCCATATTCTTCGCAATAAATTTTCTGTTTCTTTACTCAAGTTACTGCCCTAATATTTTTTAAATTAGATGTCATTTTTACAGGTAGTAATTCAACTGGCAGACTCTAATTTTTAAAATTAACGTTTTCTTCAGATAATGTCAAATTGCTTTTGCACTTGCTCTCGGACTATGTCGTCTCTAAACAAAAATGTTTAGTAAAAATGCATTATATTAGTTTTTAAATAAATTCATGTTTATTAAATAAATTTGAGAGGGGTTTGCGAGTATTATTGAGTATGTCGGATAGTGTTGCCGAAAATCGATCTTGGACCAAGATCAAGACCGCCTGACTGTTGGAAAACCAAGACTAAGACTGGTTAAAAAAAATCGTTTTTGTGAATAAAAATTAAGGTAAAATAGTTACTAATATTTAACAATTTTAGTTATTATATGTAAAGAATTGATACAACTAATATACTTTAAGACTTTACGACGAATTTAACTATCTAAACTATTAAAGAATATGTTTTTTGATTCGATGCACTTTATACATTTACATTTAACTCTTCCGATTTTTTATTCAGGCTTAGTTAGGTTTCTCCTATCTGAAAAATTATAGTAATAGGTAACTGCAAAACTGTTCCGAGACTCTTGCGGAAGGCTAATACCAAGACCAAGACTGAGTACGCTAGACCAAGACTTGTCTTGTTCTCGCATTTGGGCAACACTAATTAGTCCATGGTACAGACCCCTTTTTATCGAATTATTAACATCCACCTGAAACTTCGTAAATATTTTCATCTCATCGTAACCTACAACTATTTTATTTACGAAATTTCTTGGAATTAGGCGTTTTCAATCTGGAGGGGGACAAACTTTGTTTATTTAATTAGGTACTAAAAACTCGTAAATACCCATTTGCTTTCCACTTCAATCGATTTGAGCAACAAAATCGAGAAAAAAGGTGGTCTACAAAAATATTGGGCCGTTTGTCCTATATAACCATGTCTTTTTGAAAATGTGGCGGTGTAGGTCACGCTAAACGGCTCAATATTTTTCAAGGCCACCATTTTTCCCGACTTTGTGATAAAATTATCTTACGATCCAAGTAGAAAGCAAATGTATATTTACGAGTTTTTAGTACCTAATTAAATAGACAAAGTTTGTCCCTTTCCAGATTGAAAACGCCACAATTCCAAGAGTTTTTGTAAATAAAATAGTTGTAGGTTACGATGAGATGAAACTATTTACGAAGTTTCAGGCGGATGTTAATAATTCGATAAAAAAGGGGTCTGTACTACGGACTAAATGGCAGACGTTCACGTTACGTACACATTACCAAAACATAGTTTTATTTCAATTTATTAGCTAAATATTAAGTGCAATATCACTCTGGTATACTTCATTTTGTAATCATTTGAATTCTATTGCGGTTCAAATTTATGTGGTTTTTTTCCATATCAGTAGTACATTCATTATTCTTTATAATAAATTTGAATTTAATCTTATAAGCTCCAACACTGTCATCACCACATATGCCGATGACACATGTATCCTATCAGTCAATAACGATCCATCTATTGCATCCCAAACTCTACAATCACACATCACAAGTCTTGAAAAATGGTGTCAAACTGGAGGATTAAAATAAACTCCAACAAATCCCATCAAATTACCTTTACTTTTCGTCGTAAACCTATGACTTCCTGTCCTACAGTATCCTTTAACAATACCCCACTTATCCCTGTTGACCGAATCCGATACCTAGGACTCCACCTTGACAAACGACTCACTTGGAATCCCCATACCAGACTGAAACGATTAGAAACCGCCCGACGTTTCCGACTACTCCAGCACTTACTAGACAAACGCTCTAAACTGCCAACTATTTACAAAAGACTCATATATATTACTATAATAAGGCCTATTTGGACTTACGGGATCGAGCTTTGGGGCTCTACTAAACCATCAAATTCCTCTCGTATCCAATCTCTACAATCCAAAATCCTTCGTAAAATCCTTAATGCTCCCTACTTTGTCACAAATAAAATCATCCATAATGACCTTAATGTGCCATATGTTTCCGATTTAGCTCAATCCAGATACCTGTCCTTTCATAATAAACTTCTGAACCATCCGAACCCTCTCGTTTCCAACCTTGCTTCCTCTTCTATTCCTGATAACCCTCCGAGGCGTCTAAAAAGAAGATGACCTCGGGACCTTCTAATATAGAAATATAATTGGAGTGCTACCAATGGGTAGTTTCTCCTCATGTTGTACATGTCATATTACTTGTTCATATTTACTTGTTGTATTTATTATTAATTACAGTTGTAAATTTCGTTAATAAAAAAATAAAAAAATCTTATAAGCTAACCAATTTTTTTTCAGTGTTCATATGAAAGAAAATACTAAGAAATAGAAATGGAAGCATTTTTGAAATTATGTTTCTGCTTTTTGGCAGTACTGCTGTTTAACGTCGACTTCATAGAGGGTAAGTAATCTATCATAATAAAATTAGATTTATTATAAACTAAATTTAATTTATTAATTCAATTTATATTGTTTAAGTGATATTGATATTCTTTGCCAACGATATGTACTCAATACATATTGGTATTTAATAATATACATAAACTATTTCAGGTAATAAACCTATTGTGACTTGTTACGTGTCATCGTGGGCGGTCAACAGAGGAAAATGGAGTGTAAGCGAAGCGGACACGAAGCACTGCACCCATATTATATATGCCTACATGGGGATAAATGAAAACACGAGTGAAATTATGAATATTGATCCTTCGGTAGATCTTGGTAAAGGTAAGTTCTTTTCATTTTATTTATTTTTTTAATTATAAAAAATATTCAGAGTAGAATGTTCAGTGTATATGCTTTAGACCACAAGATATAAGTGAAAACATCAACAAGACAAGATTAATAACATGATTAATAATCACAAAGTAATAACATTTACAATCGATACATTTGTTGTTATTTTATTGTGGAAATGCCTCTACCCCTTATAATTATGTGTACAATTATAGTAGTGTACAAACTACCTATCTCAGAAAAGTTTTTATATTTTTACCTATGTCCATCAAGAAACAAAAAAAATTGAATTAGATTTATTTTCCTGAAAATTGATCAAAGAAAAGATTTTAGAACGATTTATTTGATAAACTAAAGCAATGTAAACCGGCTTAAGGTAGATCAGTGTAAAAATTTCAATACCCTCTAATATTGCTGATCAAAAACTTTTTGCCATACTCTAATTTTGTCAAACAATAAATTCTGTGAAAAATAGTGAAGCTTGTGTGATGTGGGCAACAGATTTTCTTACTTTTATTTATTTATTTTTTTTTTTAATTTCTTTGTTGAGTATTATAACAATCTGTCTGTTGGACATTGGTTATAGTGAGGTAGGATGACATTCACACTATATGTACAAAAAAATAAAATAAATAGAAAAAAACAATAATCAAAAGTATATACAATAGACAATAAAATAAAATAACCTAAAAAAATAAGAAAATTAAAACTAAGAAAAAAAAAAACACATGCATACTTATATACAATCAGGCGAGGGAACTCCAGGAGAACCCTGCGCTACTCTCTCAACCGCCTCACTGGTGCTAAAGCCAGCGGAGATAGGTCGAGAGCACAAAGTGTGCGGAAGTGTGTGTCAGGTGATGGCACAACTGAACATTGATCGTACATTGACTTACTGTTATTAAGTTATCTTTTTTCTCTCATTCACCCCTTTCTGACACCAGGATATGAACCCGTAATCTTACATTGGAAATCTAATAGATGTAACTTCGTTAATAGTTGGCTGAAAGAACGATTTTTATATAGTTTTGTAGGAAATTTCAGGTGGCTCTGAAACACATAGATCAGTCGAAAACCTCATATCGAAAACTTGACCCGATTGCATTACTTTCCTTACTTAGTATAGATGGGAAAGTAATAAAGTAAAACATGCGTAGAAACTAGAATAAGCTGTATCATCGCTAATACTAGTTCGATTCCGATGATTTTTTGGTAATTTAATTACTTTTCAAAAGTTTTATTATATCGTATAATATATACCTAGAGAGTTAGGCATCATAACATTTTTCTTTTCTTTATAACTTTTTTTCCTGAATTTTCTCGGGAATTTAGTCCGTGTACGAAAATTGAAAGAACAATTATTATAACATTATAGGAAAGTTTCATCAAAATCCTTAGAGCCATTTTCGGGCTGCAGTCTATATAAAAACATGTTTTTCAGATATTGTCCAGCACCTATTTAGCATACAATGTGTGTCACAGGCAGTAGTCAAAATCCTACAAAATAAAATAAGAAGAAACAAAATGAGTTCACTAGTTCCCGAGAAAATCTTGCCACAGACAGATAGAGCAATGGCTAAAAATGTGTTTTTCATTAGGAGGCTCTGAAACGTATAAATCCGTCGAAAACAGCATACCGGAAATTTGACCCGATCGCAATACTTTCCTTATCTAATATAGATAAGAAAGTAAAAAAAGAAAAAAACTAACTCTACCTATATGACATGGTATTTAAGTGATTCTTGAAATCCTATTAACCAGAATCACTAGCGGATCCAGGATTTAATTTTGGAAGGGGCTTCAGCCCGAAAGATTTTTTTTTCATATATATGTATATATATAAAACGACAATTAATTTGAAAAAAAAAGAATGAAATTAACTACCTTTATGAAATGGTGTTTAAGTGGTTCTTTAAGTCCTATTAAATGTAATTAAACGAACAAGAATACTTTAAGAGATAGTTTTTAATATTTTTTTCTGTAAAACATGGTTATATTTTATCATTTTGGGGGAGCTTCAGCCCGAAAGTCCCCCCTCGTAGATCCGCCTGTGATCAGAATTACACGAACAATAATACTTTAAGAAATAGTTTTTTGGATATTTGTTTCTATAATACATGGTCATATTTTACCATTTGGAGGTGGGACTTCAGCCCGAAAGCTCCCATCCCCCAAAATTAAAACTGGATCCACTAGTGTTCCGTCTGATCGTCATTTGTATCATATTTTCCCTTTCCGACTCTCTAACCCGTCATCACGTAAAAATATAATTTTGCATTATAGGTTATTACAAAGAGGATGAAATGCTGAATATATTCACAAAGTAAAAACATTTACAGTTACTCTGGTAAATTATTCTTTGTAATGAGCTGTTATTCAATAGTTTATCTTGACGCGACCTCGCAGCTTTAGAGAGGCTAAAAGAGGAAAAGATTGTGTCAAAGACCAATTGATAACGAGTTGTTGTTGTTTTTTTGCGCTATCTTTTTCTATTTAATTATGGCTCATTAGAAAAAGGATGGAATGCTGAACATTTCCTTCACTTAGACTATGTTGGTTCGATCTTTAGTTTCTGAGATATTTTATCGAAAACAGTCAATTCGAGCCGACTTTACCCTAATGAACGTTAGATATCAGAGCGTTCTGAGTCTAATTCATTGCCCTCAAAAAAAGTGCAAAGGATGCCTAAAGAAGTCTTCACTTCAAAAGCCATGCCATCAAACCCAGATGATTAACAGCTGGTTGAAAAGAAATAAATTTTTCCTCGAGAGCCAGACCCTTACCAGGGCACAGTTTATCCCCATCCCCACATATATTATTACAGTAAGGTTCGAACTCGGTTTTGTACCAAATATAAACTCCTGTCATGCTCAAATACCATGAATGGGGTTCCATTGGATTCAGAATTTCACGGGGGGTTAGCGAATCGTACTCTCCGCTTTTGTTCTTCTTTCTAAAATAAATAAAGTCGATACAAGCATTTTGCTAGTCTTCGTTACTGGATCGGTTGTAAGTCTGTAGATCGACGGGACAAATTGGAACTTGAAGACTTTGATGCGTACAGCAAGACCCGGATAGTTCTTTCGGAACCATCGGGCCCTGCGTTCTTAAGCCCAAAAACTGTTCGTATGACCGAGAAAGGAGGAGTTTATATTATTTATCGAAGGTGTTTTTTGTCAGTACGCCATATCATCGTTAATTCTTCATCAAATCCCAAAATAGCCCAATTATTCAGGCATGATGGTTCCAAACAATAATGAAGTTTTAAATTAATTTTTGTTTCCTTTATCGAATTTATTTAGCGAGAAAGTAACAATTGATTTCTTTAATGATATACGATGCATTGTTTTATTTTCTTATTAATTTTTTGTTTCATCACTGAACAATAAACTGTGCGAATTTTCGCACGGGCCCTACTGGTTATAATAAACTTCAGAGGTATACCCTTTAAAGACAGTGTATACCTATACACTGAACAGATCCACACCACATATTTCTAAATATATAAAAATTGGAGCCAAAAAGCTAGATTTTCTTCATCTTATATTTTGGTTTTTTCAACTATAACTCCTTAACGGTGTACCAAGTAAAAAACTGTTCTTTAAGGAATTAATTAGTCTTAAATTTTGCGTCGAACGAGTACCTAAACGTATAGACTAGGAGCTACTGACCATTTCATTTAACGGAAGGGCTTAAACACCCTTAATTGGTCAGGCACTCAAAAAATGACTTGAAATGAATTTTTTTTTCTTAAACCTTCTTTTTTGTGTTCTAAATAAGTAGAATATATATGGTTTAACTTAATTTTTTCTTTTCTTTAAAAAAAATACTGCATGGTGTCTTTAAGTACACTTTGGCCAATTGCCATCAAACAATGGTGGTGTCATTAAGTACACTTTGGCTAATAAACTGACGCCATAGTTTTTAAAAATTTAATTAAATAATTTACTGTAAATACTAATGATGTCAAAGTCCAGTCGGATGGTAGTTGGATGAGAAAAAAATTCAAATAATGGGTTTCCCTTAGGTTTTTAATGCTTTTTTAGAATGATGAATCTGAATTTGATGTTCCCGAACAAAATTTTCCATTATGTTATATACAAAAACAGAGAAATTCCCGAATTTGTTTTAGTTTTTTGGACTCCGAAACTAGGCATTTTATCGAAATTATTATTACATAAAAAGTTAAAGAAGATAAAATTTAGTATATATTTTATACATAGCATTTTGATGTAGGCCTAACGGGTGAGGAGTAAGAGAATATTGACTGTTTGCCCATTTCACAAGGAATATCTGTTTCCTACAAAACTCATAATCTATGCATCTCTCAGAGAAATTCATTATGATCAATTTTAAAGAATATTAAATTTTCTATGTATCTCATGTAGGCACATTCATATGTGAGAGGGTTAAGCGACTTTTAAAAGGCATGGAATTATAGAAAAAAAAGTGGGAGGGCCAATCGGATTGTAGTGGGATTCCCTCGCTTACAGAAAAAAAAGTTATGGAGGAAAAGAAATTTCATTGGCGGATAACTCAAAAAGTGTGCATTTTTTTATGGATTGTAAAAAAAAAAACGGACAATTATTAACAAAGATACAATCCATTAGTTTTGGTATACTTAACAAAGTTATTGGATTTAGTAGTAGAATAGTCTACTAATTTTTTTTTCTGTATTATATATTAACTTTATTTTTTCTTAAAGACATTTCGTTGTTCTTACATTTTATTATTTTTTTAAAAATTAAAAATATCCTATGAACGGGGCATTATTTTGTTTTTATTACTTTTATCTTTCCAGTCAGCGTTTAAAAATAGGCCCTAGCAAAGCAATTTGTACAAAAATTTTGGTCTATTATGTTAAATGGAATATTGTAAACGACCAAGGAAAAAATATTAATTCCTTTCTTACATAATACATAAGAACTACTTATTTCCATATTGTTTTGCTATTTTTTCACAAAATAAAATTATCTGCTAATTTTTCGCAACTAGTTAAATTTAATAAGACTTCAAGAATCACTTAAACAACACCATTTCATATAGGTATAGTTAATTTCCTTCCTTTTATTACAGAAGCAGCTGAAACCTCCAAAATTAAATCCTGAATTCTCTACTGCAATGAGGTTAAGATGAACGAGATATGCATGATCATACGCTCGAAATGTGTCACCAGGGAGCCTCTCCCAACAGGGTTAGATCAAACCAAGAATGTCATTGCAGAGCATCCAAAAAAGTGGGAAACAATAGCCCAAGACCACTAGCGGATCCAGGATTTAAGTTTGGGGGGGGGCTTCAGCCCGAAACCTTTTTTTTTCATAACAATAACGATAATTACTTTGGGAAAACAGAAAGAAACTAACTACCTATATGAAATGGTGTTTAAGTTATTCCTTAAGTACTTTTAATTGTAATTACACGAACAATAATACTTTAAGATGTATTTTTTAAATTTTTATCCCCATAAAATAAGGTTATATTTTTCCATTTTGGGGGGGCTTCAGCCCAAAAGCCCCTCCCCCCCGTAGATCCGCCTGTGCCCAAGACAGATAGAGGTGGAAAAGGTTGGTTCAAGCGGCCAAAGATCTTCAAGGTCTGTGAAGGCAAAAATATAATAAAGCGTTTTCTTTTCTTTATAAAGTATCTCATCACGGTACAGCAATTTGGAACTAATAAATGGGACCCCATATCCAAGGAAAAAGGTTAACAGATTTAATATGACCAGTTCTGAGAACTCGGGGTTATATCCTTCATTTGACGATTCTAAAACATTTCTAGGAAAACCTGCCTTAGGATGCCCCATTTCCTTGTAGGAAAACTTATAAACAATACAATTTTTAAATAACCCTCGCAATAACAACTTTTTTTCTGCCACCAGATTATATCAAATTAAGCTCACTGTACTTTTCTTTTTACCTATAAAAATTTATTTTTATATTCATTTTATTTAAACACTAATACTGTATGGAAGTAACAACTGTTCCATTGTTACAATCTTCGGAATTACTAGTCATAATATCGGACCCAGGATATAATTTTGGGGAGGGAGGCTTCAGTCTGAAAGTTTATTTTTTTTTAATATATATATGCCTATTCATCCCTTTTTGCCCAGTCCGCTGGTGTTCCTCAAGGTAGTATCCTAAGCCCTAAGTATCCTAAATAATGAAACAGCACTTGCATTCCAAATGCTTCAATCACACATCATAAATCTAGAAGAATGATGTCAAAACGGGAGAATTAAAATAAACTCCAATAAATCCCACCAAATTACCATTACACTTCGTCGTAAACCAACAACTTCCTGTCCTACAGTTTCCTTTAACAATACTCCATTTATCCCTGTTGAGCAAATCCCATACCTAGGACTCCACTTGGACAAACGACTAACTTGGAATCCTCATACTAGACTGAAACGACAAGAAACCGCTCGGCGTTTCCGATTACTTCAGCACTTACTAGATAAACGCTCTAATCTTCCAATTAATTACAAAAGACTCATATACTTGACTATAATAAGGCCTATTTGGACTTACAGAGTTGAGCTATGGGATTCCACTAAACCATCGAATTCCTCTCGTATCCCATCCTTACAATCCAAAATCCTTCGTAAAATCCTCAATGCTCCCTACTTTGTTACAAATAAAAACATCCATAATGACCTTAATGTTCCTTTTGTTTCAGATCTGGCCCAATCCAGATACCTATCCTTCCATAATAAACTTCAGAATCATCCCAACCCTCTCGTTTCTAACCTTGCGTCCTCTTCAATTTCTGATAACCCTCCGAGGCGTCTGAAAAGAAGATGGCCCCGTGATCTCCTAATGTAAACATATCATTAGAGTGCTACCATTGGGTAGTAACTCAGCAAGTGTTTTTCATGTCATTATGTTCTAATTTACTAGATGTATTTATTTAATACAGTTGTAAATGTCTTTAAGAAATAAAAAAAAATAAATTAAAAAAAAATATATGTATATCAATTATTACTTTGGAAAAAGAAAAAAGACACTAACTACCTGCATGAAATGGTGTGATTCTTTAAGTCCTATTTAATGTAACTACAGGAACAATAATACTTTTAGGAGATATTTTTTTTCAATAAAACGTTGTAATATCTTACCATTTGGGAGGAGGGGAGTCTGCCTGAAGGCCCCTCCTTCCTCCTCCCTCCCCTAGATCCACCTGTGGAAGGTAAACGTATAATATATTATTGAAAATCAGAGAATTTTAGAAATAAATCATATTTTTCCAAGGAAATTATCCAATTTATTACTCAATAAATGTAAACTTTTTAAAAAAATTTTAAGTTTGAAAAATTATTTAAAATCCATCAAAACAATGCAATGAGATTGTTTAAAATACTATTTCATTGTATTGTGTGAAAGAAGAAGTGAAATATAAAATATTTCATGGATATGTTTATAACCATAAATACATTTACTATAGTTTAATAACTCTAGATTTGATATTATATTTAAATTATTATATATCTATCGCCAGTTTATTCCGAAAAATCATCAGTCAAACTTTTATAAAATTAAATTAGTGAATAATTTGATGAATTTTCCCTTTGTGAAATCCTAACAGTATCTATTTACAATTAGTGTGACAACTTTTGACCTATCTATGACAGGCAATTCAAATCTCGTAATAACATTTCAGTAAACTTGCAACGGAAAATAATAGTTTAATTACTAATAGTCGTACAATGCATAATTAATAGATCCTATATAATCCATACTCAAGCATTGATATAATTAATAGGATTTTTGTAATTTTAATGATTTGTTAGCTGTAAGCTTTAAGCTTTAGCTCGGTTAAAAATACACTTCAAAAATTTAATAATAGCCCAACATTGCCAGAAAATAATTTCTATTCAAAGTAAAACGGCAAGCAAAAGTTGTCTCGCTCGCACCAAATTTTTGTATTTGTTCAGGGGAGCTAATTTTCTATAACTTTGAGCTATTCGAATTTGTTTCTTAGTTATTAAATTATTAAATTAAAAAATGGACATGGTGTTCTTTACCTCTGAAGTACAGATGTGCATTTGGATTTGGAAGGGGGGGAGGGGGCTGTTGAAACTGAGATAGTCATCATGAGAGACACAAGGGATTGATAGAACATTAAATCTTATTTTTACTCTCAAATATATTTAACATTCTGATTTTTCTCATTGCAGGCCAGCTGAAACAGCTTACAGAACTGAAGAAGTCTAATCCAGACTTGAAAATTCTTGTCAGCGTTGGTGGATGGTTTACAAGCTCTATCAAGTTTTCTGATATTGCAAGAAATCCTTCAAAGAGTACTACTTTTATCAACAGTCTCATAAAGTTCATAAGGTCTTTCAAGTTCATTTTACTGTTTTATATTGATTATTTGTAACACGTTTTTATCTATTGATAGTTTGTGTTTTCTACTCAATTTAAAAAATTATATTTGTTCCTCAGACAGTGGGATTTAAATGGCATTGACATTTGTTGGCAGTACCCTGGTCAGAGAGGAGGAAAACCAGATGACAAGAAAAATTTTGTAAACCTTTTAAAGGTAATCCATTAACAGATCAACTTTATTTACTTTAAATACTTAAGTAGTGTGTCACATTGAATGTAAAATGATATGCATCATAGACTCCATGGTTTCTTCTCTATGGGTTATTCTATAAAGTTTAAGATTCGATTTGTATAATGCAATTTTAAGGATTTTAAAAATAATATTAGATCAGTTTCCACAGTAAAATTTAAATCTAAAAATTATAAAACTTTTTTTTTTTTTTAAACTAAATGTATAAATAAGTACCTACTACCTCTTTAGTGTACTAGTTAATATATATTATCATTATTATATAGTAATTAGAAATCATTCTTATCCCGAGTAAAACTGGATTCTATAGAGTTACAGATAGGATGAATATTATCAAATAGATTTAAACCTCTTCTTTATATCACAGATTAATTAATATGAGTAATATTATAATTCAATTTTACTAAATGATTTCAGGATATCAAAAAAGTATTCCAGTCTAAGGGATTGCTTCTCACAGTCTACGTCTCTGCTCATCTTGACAAAATTAGGACAGGCTATGATGTGAAATCAATATCAGAGGTAGTTGATTATATCAACTTAGCTGCTGTAGAGTATCACGGGCCATGGATGAAAACTACAGGAATCATGGCTCCTCTGAATTCGACTGATGAAAATAATGTTGTGAGTGTATTTTTCAGTTTACTCTATTAATATTTTTAAAAGAATAGTAATAATAGAAAATGTACTTTAATTGTATTAATTATATTAATAGAAAAATCTATTATATATATATATATATATATATATATATATATATATATGTATATTATAATAATAATATTATAATATCAGAATCACTAAATGCACAATATGTTATACATTCAGTAGTGTCAGTGTGAATGAGGTACTAACTCTTGCATTCCGTGTCATTGCAAGGTGGTCCCTTGGCACCACTTATCTTTAATATTATTATACAATGAATTATAGTGCGTGTAAATCTCGATATAGGGGGGGGGCTATATTCAATAAAAGTTATCAAATAATAGCACATGCTGATGACGTCGCCATTGCTGGAAGGTCCCTCCAAAATAACAAAGATTCATTTGAAGGATTCCAGGAAAAGGCTCAGACATTTGGTCTTCAAGTAAATATCAAAAAGACCACGATAATGGTAATGAGGAGAAAGAATTTAAGGCATCCTCAGAAGATGTACATAGTTGGTAACAGCTCCTTTGAAAACGTCTCTAGTTTTAAATGTCTTGGTAGTCGAATAAATGTGGCCTTGGATGGGTATATCAAAGCTCGTATCGTTGCTGCCATCATACATGATCATGCATCTCCTAAAGTCGATTGATCAGTCACACAACAAAGATGAGTCAATACACTAATTAGAGCCATTGCGGTTCACGCATATGAGAAATGGGTGTTAAATGATACAGCAGCAAACAAAATGGACTTGTTCAAGTGGAAATTAAGATGTGTTAAGATGTGTGCTGGGTCTAATCAAAGAGAATGGAGAGTGGCATCACAAAAAACCTGTGAAATTTATGATGTATATGAAGACCTCACAATCTTAGAATTTATAAAATTACGACTGAAATGGCTGGGCCAACTTAACCAGTCAGAGAAAAAGCTCTGTTCTAGCCTTCCAGAGGGAGTGAGAGCATGTGGAAGATCACGAGGAAGATGGAGGGGCAGTGTAACTGCAGGTCTGGCTGCGTATGGACTTTCACTGTCACTTGCTGGAGACTAAGAAGAAGCCTGGGCAAGAGCTTTGGAGCAGGCCAAGGACTGCCTTGTGCATCTGTCGTGTCTTTGAAGAAGTGGAAGAAAGTTTATGTTGAATATAACGATCTTCGGTGAAAAAAATGTTTATTATATTAGAATAGTCAGTATATTTGGAATCATATCTATTATAATTTCAGATTAAAAATAGAATGTCCCAAAGTAAAAATACCATTTTTAAACAATAATTCATTAATATTAAAATAAAAAACAAGTTTTCACAATTATCTTTTTTTTTTCTTTTTTGAAAGAATTTAAATATAATTTTCATAAAGAAATCTTTTTAAGCTTTTTTTTCTTGTTCTAATGAATTTTACAATGCCATTAGTAATTACATTATTAAATCAATATTTTAGAATATATTCTTGCAGGAATTGTCTTGAAACTAAATTATTATTTTTTTTTTATATTATTTCAGATAGCGAGTGTTGATTACATACTTCAGAGAGGATCAATTCCTAGCAAAATACTATTAGGGCTCCCAACTTATGGACATACCTACATCACCAATGAAAAAATTGAAATTGACAAGAAGTATATTGGATTACCCTCTGATCAAGGATTCCCATCACCGTGGACACAAACCCCAGGAATGATAGCCTACAATGAGGTGTCAACATCATAGTATTTATTCTGTAATAAAAACAAATCTTGAATGGGGTGCATTAAATAAGTATTTAAAAAAATAAATATATGATAAGACTAATAAAAACAGCTCCCCGGTACATAAGCAACAAAAAACTTTTCATACAGATTTACGACAATCAACTATCAATCAACACATACTGTTAGGTTACGTTTCCATTGAAAAGTAAACAAACAGTTTCTGAACCATATTATTTTTATTTCATACAATAATTATTTTAAAGACAACAAATTATTTCTCAGGTTGGGTTGAAACAAATAAGTACACATTCCTCAATTATATATTATAAAAGCATACATTAAATTTATATACAACATTTATGGATTTCCATTTAGTTTTGTCGGGGTCTACTCTTGGTGCTCTTTCTAACTCACAATTTATTTTGCACTCACCCTACTCTGCAGTGAATTTTCCACTTTATTGTTGTTGAAGATATTGCTGTATTCAACTTTTACAAATGTCTTCTATTTTAATGTACTAGACACTTGCAACTTGTTGGTCACCAGTCACTCTCTGCTGGTCTCTATGATCTTTCCTTGCCATTTGGTTACTTTCTTTCCATAACATATGGTGCTTACTTCCCCTTCCATCTGTCTTTCTCCGCCTCTTTGTCCATTTTTTACAGTAGTTTGTGACATCAATGCGCCACTATTTAAAATTCTATTGACCAATTAAATTCACTAGGTAACATTAACATTACAATACGTACTCTTTAATCTCAGTTTCATATTGAAATCTACTGACACAACAATAAACTTATAAATGATACAATCACAACTTACATACCCATCAGGAAGCAACTTAAAAGGAACTGGCTGAGAGATCCCGTTTTGAATTAAGCAAATATATACCAGGAAAAAGTGCTTCTGAGCATTATCCCTCCTCTTACCTTTAATGCATATACGATATATAGAATATACATATACAGTGTGTCCTGTAACGAGAAGGAAACTTTAATAGGAGTGATAGCAGACGACCTCAAGACCTACAAAAAAGTTCATATAAACAATGGACAAATTTTCAGCAGAAAAGTAGCAAATCCAAGTTTTGTGGTTTTTTAAGTGAGCCATGTTTTTTATTGAATCGAAAGAGATAATTAAGGAAATGTTTAATGTAAGTAATTAACAATTGCTTAGCTATAAACTAGAACTCCTTCCATTAAATGAAATGATCAGTAGCTCGTAGTCTATGAGATTGGGTGTTTCCCTTCTATCTTTGCTCCCGCAAGCAATAAACTTCTGCAAGAAGTCCACATTGCGGGGACAAAAACCTATATGGTCTATATCGCCAACTAAAAAAAATAATAGAAGAGAAGGATGGTTGGGGTGTTCAGTGAAATTGTAATGATAAAAAATAAATAATTTTATTTATTTTTACATTCGCCGATGTTTCGGCCCCGAAGTTCAGGCCTTCATCAGGGCTGGGAAAAGATTGGAAAAGGACTTCAGGCTGAAACGTCGGCGAATGTAAAAATAAATAAAATTATTTATTTTTTACTATTTCAATTTGACTGAACACCCCAACCATCGTTCTCTTCAATTATTCACTACAGTCAACCATAAACCCACAATTAAAAATTAAAAAATAATAATAAGTTATTCTGTTGTTACTTTTTTTTTTTTTTAGATTGAATTTTTTTAATTACTTTTCTTCCAGATAATGTTTAGAATCAATAAAAGCTCTGATAACATTTTTTAATACACTTAAATTAAAATGAAATAAAACTGGTAAAACATTAAGTCAATAACTGAAAGGTATTAAGGATATAAGCCCTCGCCATAAACATAACTTTTACCCTTCATATACCAGTTTTGTTATGACCACATGAGAAATTCAATTATCAAACGATGAAAAACAACTATTAATTTTAACCATTTTTGGAAGAAAAAGCTTTGAATTGAAATCATAATTCTATTTTAACATTGTTATGCATTGGAGTTTACTTTAGCTGCATATATTTCTTCCCCGAAAAGAAATTTTCTCGAAAATATTTTTTTTTAATTACAGATATGCCTCGATCTGAAAAATGATAATAACTGGAATGAAGGATTCGATAAAAATTCTTCTACACCATTCGCATACATGGACTACAAATTCGTCAGTTTCGACAATAAAAAGAGTTTAATTGAAAAGGTAAATCACCAAACCAATTCAAAATATTATAACTTATAAAATATTATAAGTGTGTGTGTGTGTGTGTGTGTGCAATTATCGAGATGGTCGGGGGTGGTGGTCATAAATAGGCTGAATAGTGGCAAAATTATTTTATTAAAAGCCAACATTTCGACCTGACTTTGTAGGTCTTCTTCAGGGAGGTGTGTTCAGCTAGGAGTTTCACTTAGAACTGAATAGGAAGGAGTTTCAGTTCTAAGTGAAACTCCTAGCTGAACACACCTTCCTGAAGAAGACCTACAAAGTCGAGTCGAAACATTGGCTTTTAATAAAATAGTTTTGCCACTATTCAGCCTATTAATGACCGCCACCCCGGACCATCTCCTTCCTCTATAATGCAACGGTCAACTATTACATATTCAATGTGCAATTATCTTTTATTATAATATAGTTTATTATTTTAATTATTATACTATATTATTGGCTTATTGCAAAAAAGTGGTGTCATTTCATAACCTTGAATCAGTAATAACTTTGATGAATTTTTCCTTTGCGAAAATAGAAATTTATGCGATTGTTGGAACTATATTTGATATATAAAAGGCTTTATATGCACATTTCAAGGAAATATTTCTGGTCTGTGTCAGATATATATATATGGTCTACATGTTCTATCAGATGAAGATAAAGATCATAAGGCAATGTAAGAGAAAAAAAATTCATCTGTCTCAACACAAAATTAAAATTAAATCAATATGAAACTAATTGAATAAAAAAAATTGTTTAATGACACTAATTATTACTTATATGCTAATTGATCTTTAATTATGGAGATTTAGTTAATGTTCTTGATGAAATTTTATTTTTAATCCCTTTCTAAAATTATTTCTAAAGTTGAAGAGAAGGATGGTTGGGTGATCAGTTAAAATTAAAAATAAATATAATTAATCATTTTTTACTATTTTTTATTTTGACTGATCACCCCAACCATCTTTCTCTTTTCAATTATTCACTATAGTCAACCATTAACCCACAATTATATTTCTTAAGTTCATTATTATTATTACTCATTTTATTTATGTTGTTTTCTATGTTATTATTTTAAAAACTGTGTTTAAGCAATGATTTGAAAGTAAAATATTAGTTATAATAAATCAATTCAAGTCGGTATTATCATTTTGAGTTTTAAGTCAAAAGTTTAAATTTTTCAGAAAAATTTAACTATAAATTTAGAGCACCCAAACTTCATATCATTGTTTTTAAAGTAAAAAAGAATCTATTGCTAGATATTAAAACCTATTTTTGTTTTAAAAAATGTATTACTAAAGTAGAAAAAAAATTAATGTAAAATTTATTTATTTTTATAAAAAACTTATTTTTAAGCCTTTTGCGGAACCTCAAGATTAAATATAAAAAAGTAAAATTTTCAGGTGTTTTTATTGACATAAAAGGCAACTTTTGAGTGCCGAGTTGTATGCCGAAAATTAATGTTTTTCCTTCTACGCTAATGGGCACCTCTGGGTGTCATTTATAACGGGTAGTTATATTTTGAATTTAAACCAAACAATCCGGAATGCACTTAATATTTCTTCTTTTTTTAGGCAAAGTTGGTCAAAATACATAAACTTGGAGGCATCATGTTGTGGACATTAGATACGGACGATTTCCTTGGACTATGTCATGATAAAAAGTACCCATTGCTAACTGCTCTCACTGAATATCTTGAGAATGAAGACAACTTAAAACCTTCAAATAAGAAAGCTGTAACTGGAGATTATCATAAATGAAGTGCACTGATTTTTATTTGAAATTTTTATTTCAGAAAAAGAATTTATAAACAATCCTTTTTGTTTTAATTAAATAAATATCTTATTATGGTTTTCATTTATTGGTTTTCATTCATTCACCCATACCTACAAATACATAATTTAAAATATGAATTAATATAATAATTTAAAATATAATAATGTAATTAAATATAATTGTTTTAAAATATATGTAATCAAACCATATAACAAAATTATGATTTGGACTAATTGGCCCCTACGAATAATTCACATAGAATATTGATCAATGAACAACTGACAATATAATATAAAAATAAGTTAGTGATATGTATTATGAGAGGGAAGAAATAATTTTCTTTATCTCAGACCAATCACATTAGTTCATTCAAACTAATAAACCCTAACATGTCTTCATTATAGGTTATAACCTTATAAAAATAGTTCAATTTCGATAAACTTTATTTAGTTTAGTGGGGAATTTTTATTTATTTAGCAGATAATAAAAATAGATTATAAGCAGAAATTAATTAGAGTAGAACTGTGTCCTTGCTGACTCTGTCTCTAGATCAACTATGATGATCTAGAAGACCTACGGAGAGAAAAATAGTGATTAATTAGAGTAAAACTGCATCCTTGCTGGATCTGTGGCTGGTTCAACTAAGGTGATATAGAAAAACTAAAGACAGAATATTAATTAATTAGAGCAGAACTGCATCCTGGCTCTGTGGCTGAAACATCTATGATGAAAATGAAGACCTAAGGAGAGAAAAATAGTAATATATTAGAGTAAAACTACATCTTTTCTGGCACTGTGGCTGGGACAACTAAGATGATCTAGAAGTCCAAAAGAGGGAAAAATAGTGATTTTTCTTAATCTCTTATGTCTGGCTTGATAGCTGGAAAGAAGACAATTATAATCCAGAAGACCTAAGGAAAGAAAGATAGTGATTAATTAGAGTAAAACTGCCTCCTGCTGGTTCGATGGCTGGAAAAACTAAGACGATCTAGAAGACCTAAAGGGAGAAAAATAGTAATATATTAGAGTAAAACTACATCTTTTCTGGCACTGTGGCTGGGACAACTAAGATGATCTAGAAGTCCAAAAGAGGGAAAAATAGTGATTAATTGGAGTAGAACTGCATCTTTGCCGGTTCTTTTGCTGGAACAACTGAGATGATCGATGAGACCTAAACAGAGAAAAATAGTAATTAATTAGAGTAAAACTGCCTCCTACGGGTTCAATGACTGGTACAACTAAGATTGTGGAAGACCTAAGGAGAGAAAAACAGTAATTAATTAGTTAGTAATTAACTGGATACTCCTTATCTCAAGATGGCTTCTTCAGCATTTGAAATAAGTATAGTAATAGTTGAAGAAAGAGTGTTTCTGCAAGGGATATTTATGGATATATACAATCAGATGGTTGGGTTCTTGTGCTTATTTAGTGGAAAGGATGTTAGTTCTTTCTTAGGGAGAAAGGATGAAATAGGAGTACCAGGCTCTGGAGTCGCTATCCTATCCAGGGTGGTTTCTAAGGAAATATAAATGCAAAGCTGTGTACTGTACATGTGCTCCTGTCAGTGTCTTTGATTTTTTTTTTGTGTAATGTTGAGGCGAGTTTGCATGGTGCACTGAGCTGGGGTAACCCGTGGGGGCGCTGCTCCCCAAGTGCCTACATGCAACAGACACTCCTTGCGGGGTTAATACATAATATACAATATTTATTTACAAGTAAATTATCTAAAATAAATTATTAAAATGCACCACAGGTGCCTCTTTTCAGAATCGGTTAGCATTTCTTGATTCAGAGTATGATGTGTGTTTCACAACAAAACATTTTTATTCATTTTGCAGATAATGAAGATATATTATAAGTATTTATTGAAATTAGAGAGTCTCAAATACCCCTTCAATTGTCTTATGACTATTAAGGGGTTTTGAGAATATTAATAATAACAAAGCATTCTTAAGTAGTACCTATCCCCCTTTCTAAAAATAAATTAAAGTTTTTATCTTTATTTAAACACAAAGTAATTATATATGCGTTATCATAAAACAGTGTACTCCACCAATTGGTAGTGTGTACTACAAAAAGATCTAGTAGTTTCTTATAGCTAAAGAAATCGAACAAGATAGTTTTTAAAACAAGACAGAACCAGAACCCTACTGTAGCAACAAAAAGACAGCTGCCGAAACTATTATCTAGAAATATTAAAACCGTTAACATTTAAATTATATTTGTACCGGTCCGTAACGAAAAGGAAAAGTTAAAATAGGTTATAAGCAGAAAATTAAATTAATGAGTCCCAAATACCCCTTCATTGTTCTATAACTATTAAGGGGTTTTGAGATTTTAAGCAGAACATACAATATAGATACATTTTATCATAAAAATATCAATAATAAGGCATGCAATAGTACTCACATGTTTTTATTGGCGACTCAAGGAAGTTCTCCAACTCACTCATAAGTGTACCTACCAGATGTCTGAATAACTTTAGAATTTAACAATAATAACAAATATCATGAAGAAAAAAGATACATACTATCAGAAATAGATTTTTAAATTTAAGTAATTTTTCAGTCTGAATTAAATTATTTTAGTTTTTGGCAAATATTAATATTTTCAATTTAAAAAATCTACACTTATCTAAATAGTGAAACAAAATATAACAATATCATAATGACATTTCCCTATTTATTTAATCATTTAATTGTAAAGAATTACTTTTTAAAAATATTTAATGAGAAAAATTGTGTGTAATGAGTAGAGTTGAGTTGTTGGTAGCTGCAGACTAAAAATCCTGAAATCTGCCTAACCTCTCACATTGATATAATGAATTTATTATGAAAAAAAAAAATAATTCAATTTGTTAATACTAAATCTTTAACGAATTGGTGAGAAATAAAAATATCAATTGAAAGATACTCAATAATAAAAATGAAACATCAACTAATAGCATGTTTATTTTATATATTAGAAATTAATTGAATTGTTTTACAAACACTAACCAGATTTGACAATAAAAATTAAATAAATTTATTTAAAAATAAAATCTTAATGAAATTTTCTTAATTTTTTTCACAGTTATAAAGTGATAAATAAGCAATGTAATTAATTTTGAGAGGAGGCAGCCGCTGTATACATATTCAAAATAAATAGCATGCACATGCTTCATGCAAAAAATCTGCCCACAATGGAAATAAAAAAATTAACAACACTAAAAATAAAAATATATAGTACTCACATGGCTGTTTTTATTTTGTCATCTGCAGTTCATTGAAGTTCCTCAACCCCCTCATGACGGGTACCTAACTAATCTAATTTCTGAATAATCATAAATTCTACTGAGTATTTAAAAAAAGTGAAATATACTTTAAAATTATTAACAGTAAGTTTATTAATATTTTCTATAAAAAGATAATTGAACTTTTGTTGTATCTAATATGTAAGTAAATAAATAAAAAGAAGACTAAAGTCAACATAAAGATAATAGCATAATGATTTACAAGTATTATCTCATAATAGATTTATTTTATTTAACATTCTCTAAGAAAATTTGTTTGTCTAATGAGAGGGGTTTCCCGCTGCAGTGTGGAGATCCTGAAATTTGCCATCACCTCTCACATCCAAATAATGATAATTAATAACTAAAAACTAAATGAATTGATGTTTTGATAAAATCTGAATGAATTTTATTTAAAATATGCTAATTTTTAATTATTACAGTTTTGAAAGTTAATCTAATGAATAGTGAGAAGCAATAGCAACGAGGAACATATCAAAATAAACAACTATACACATATACTGCACAACATGCACTGTGAGCTTAGCCAGGGAAAGGAGAGTTGGGGTGGCTGACCATCTCCCAGATAATGACATAGAAACCATAAATATCAACAAATATAATCCCAAATCTACTGAAAACTGATAGACAGTGACAGGTGGATTTTCTATTTCAACATTTTAAAAGAAACTAATTTTGAAAAAAAGGACACCCTCCGCTTGAAATAAATTAAATTTAAAAACTTGCCCCCTCTTCCGTTTTGAGGCAAAATTTGTTTAGCTGGCTAAGCTCTTGCCTACTATATACATGCATATAACACTACCAATTACCAGGTCTGTAAAGATGAAACCTAAATTTGGCTATAGCTGTTAACATATTTACCTACGATCAGTTCGAAATGAACTCAGCCGATTTGGCAAGACTTGGCCAGAAGCAAAAGTGATTGCTGCACAAAGAGCGGAATGGAACGCACTTGTAAATTCACTATGCTCCGGTAGGAGTCAATGTGACTGGCTCACCAAGATACAGAAAGTTTTCTATTGCAAGCCGATCATAAATTGACAGAGAGATGGGAAAAAAGTATAGTAAATGTATATAAAAATATTTTTTTAAATATTATGATACAATTGTTATGCGACTTGTATTCTCTATACAAAACCTTCAGTTTCATATTTACACACCTGGAATTGAAAAAACATGCGTTTTCCAAAGTGGGCAGAGATTATGGACCATCTCAAACATAGTTGTTTTGTTTTATTTGGAATATATAAAAATTAAGGATCCTGTATGATTTATCTTTTCTGTGTTTAGCTCAAGGCCATTGTAGTTATTTTAGTTAACTTAATTCTGTTTGAGTAAAGGCCCATAAATACATGTTAAGAAAAAGTCCTACCTTTTTTCTGCTTGAAGTTCGTCCGGTGTCCTGTTGATCCATGAGGGAAGCAGCTGTCCAGCAGGTAACTTGTAATCATCAAGAGGAGCATTTCCGTCAAGGAGTGGCTTGGATATTGGATACCTCCTCAGTACAGCGACAACCCATGAAGAAGTTGAGGGGAGGTATGTCCTCACATTATATGCTCCTGAAAAATGAATAACAATGTAAATAATAATAAAATGACAATATAATCATTTCAACATAAAAAGAAAGAGAAAAATATTATTATTTAATGAACTACATTTATTTAAAAATCAACACTAAATTATGAAAAGTGCTATCATAATCTGAACAGAAAATTTATTTTTGTCATTCCTTATACTAAAGAAACAACCAATTTTCATTTAATAGTACAAATAAAAACAAACTTTAAAAAATATGTG